CATTTTTAGCTTACTTAAAAATAACAATAAACATTCATTGAGTGAAAAAAAAGATGAATAGGGTCTGATGATCTAATGTATAACGTGGTGACTATAGTTGATAACACTGTTGTATAATTGAAATTTGCTAAGAGAATAGAACTTAAATGTTCTTTCTCTCTCACACACACACACATACACACAAAGTGTAAATATGTGAAATGATGGATATGTTAACTAACTCAATGAGCAGACTCCTTTCACAATGTATACATATATCAAACTGTCATGTTGTACAGTTTAAATATCTTATAATTGTGCTTGTCAATTATACCTCAATAAATCTGAAAAAATAATAAATAAAAATATCTATTGAGAAAAAAGATAAGAGCAACTGAAACTTAAGTTTCATCATAAATCTACCTCTGTGAACATGACTTCGTGGCTCTGCACCATCTGGTTTCTTTATACTTCTCTGGCTTCATCCTTAGCTCTGCTCTGGGAGCGTCCACACACTGGCTTCCTCTGATGAATTTCAGGGTCTCTCACCGCAGGACCTTGGCTTATACTATTCCTCTGCCCAGAAAGTTGTGTCTCACCATTCTTGGAACTGTTCCTTTCCTCCTTGTTTCTAACAGACACATGAGTTGCTGCTTCCTCTCCCTCTTGGATACACTGATGTGGGAATATTACAGAGGGTGAAAAATGGTCACTGCCCCTCACTCATTCTTCTATAAAATAATTTTCTCTTAACTTGTATTTATTTTACACAAAGTAAAACTTATTATAAATACATATTCCTCAGACCAGATAAAAGAGAACTTCAGTTTCTTAAAAGTATAAAACCATGAAGCTGGAAAGTACCTAATCAAAGCTCTTACTAAATCTCCTGGCGTTGATCAAAACTAGCCACAAATTCTCTGTAACAACTCTCAACAAGCAGTGGAGTTTGTTTTCCCACATCTTGAATCTGTGTTGGCCCCGTGACCTGCTTTGACTGATAGAATGTGGTGGAATTAACACGGCAGATGTTCTAAGAATAGGTCCTAAAATGCTGCTGTCTCGTGAACAAGTGCAAGTTAGCCTCCTGGAGGATGGCGGATGTGTGGAGGGGGGTCTCGGCCGTCATCGCTGGCAGCCCGCAGCCAAATGAAGCTGAACACGTGAGTGAGCCCAGCTGACACCACGTGGAGCAGAGACGGGATTGCTGACGGATTTCAGCCCAAGTTGCCAACCCACAAAATCATGAGCAAATAAATGGCTGTTGTTATAACGAGCTCATATTTGACGAAGAAACAGCTGATACACCTTCCTAACCCCAGCTGTCCAATAAAGATCTCCGTTCTCACTGGCTCACAGTTTAAGTGGTTCTAGAAGAAATATTAGGAGGGATCACACACCTTTCTGTATTCTGTGAGTCACAAAGAATTTACTAATTCAATAATACTTGCATTGCCATGTCATCATCATGTGCTGGGACGGTAAGATGCCCCTATGTGGATTCACGAGATTTTACTAAAACCCAGTGGCCACAGTGGGTTTATGAGACATGCATATGTTACCTGATATTGAAGTAGATAATTTAACAAACATTAATGGAGTCTGAAGATTTTCCGTTCATAGGTGCAAATATCATGCCAATTGACTCCAATGAGCTATGTCATAACCCACAGTCTAGAGGTTAATGTTCACTTCAAGAGTCAATCAAAGCCAACTCACAAACAAGGGAGAACACAAAGACAGAAGACCCCCCTACCTGCAGGCTGAAATCTATGCTGTGCCATGCCATGAGTCTCTGTCATGTCCTCTGTATTGCTGACTACCCAACTAGTCGCAGCTGACTTAGATCACGATTTGGCCATCTCGCAACTAAGCCTGGAATTGCAACCTTCAGCACTGATGCACTGCTATTCCTCTCTCCTCTTCTAGACCCCATTTCACAGTGGAAACAATCACAAGGCAAGAAGAGTCCCTTTCTCCCCTTCCTTCCTCCCTTCCTTCTTTCCTTCCTTCCTTGCTTCCTTCCTTCCTTCCTTCCTTCCTTCCTTCCTTCCCTCCCTCCCTTCCTCCCTCCCTCCCTCTCTCTCTCCTCTAGCTGAGATCCTTTAACACAAAAGAAGTCCACCTTTCCAAATTCCAGTTGTACTGACTTTGTTGCCTTACCATGAACAAATAGAAACTTCTATTGCACTTCTATGTGATCTAGGGCTCTGAAATTAATTCAGGTCTGTTAGCAAAAACCTGACTGAACAGAAATGGGCCCTTTAGATCTTGTTTCTCCCCTGCTTTCATCAGTGAAATAGGATCTCCCAGACAGCAATAAAGAGGCCATGTAGTTAGAAGCCCCATGGACTTGTCAGCAGGATGGAGTTGAAAAGGAATGCTGGGGCTGAGGGGAAAGCCTTCTCATTGTGGGAGCAAGCACACACTTTTCAGAGAAAATCACAGCGGGTGTTTTGATACCTTGGACAGGTGCGCTGGGTGTGTAAGAAGTAAATGCAAGGTTTCAGGAAAAAAATATAAGAATAAAGCTGAGCATACTGTTTCCATATGACCCAGCAATTTTGCTCCTTGGTATTTACCCAAATGAGCTGAAAACTTAGGTCCACACAAAAACCTGCACATGAATGTTTACAGCAGCTTTATTCAGAATTGCCAAAACTTGGAAGCAACCAAGATGTTCTTCAATAGGTGAATGGGTAAGCAAACTGTGATATGCCCATACAATGGATACTGGGAAAGAAAGAAATGAGCTATCAAGCCATGACAAGACATGGAGGAAACTTAAATGAGTATTTCTAAGTGAAAGTAGCCAACCTGAAAAGGCTGCACACTGTATGATTCCTACCATATAACATTCTGGAAGAGGTAAAACTATGGAGACAGTAAAGAGATCAGTGATTGTCAGGGGTTGGAGGGGAAAGGGGTAGGGATGAATGGGCAGAGCACAGAGAAACTTTAGGGCAGTGAAAATACTTTGTATGGTATTTTAATTATGGATACGTGTCGTTATATATTTGTCAAAACCCATAGAACGTACAACGTAAAGAGTGAACCTTAATATAAACTATGGACTTTAGTTAATAATAATGTATGGATAATTTTTGTAAACCTAAAACTTTCCCCCAAAATGAACCCTATTAATGAAAAAAAAATGTCATAAGGATGAGGCTGTCCCGTCTTGAAACGGTCTATGTGCAGGGCCCACATATCCATGAGGCCCAGCAGGCACAGGGTCTAGGGCCCATGATATTTTTTAGGGACCCACAAAGATGTTTTAATTTCTTTAAAACTCAGGAGGAAAACATGAATATAATAACACATATATTGGGCTGGGTTTTTCTGTAACATCTTCCTTTAAGATGTTACAGAAAAACCCAAACGAACTTTTCGGCCAGCCCAATATAATCATAAATCCAGGCTTTATACCACCTCAGTCATAAAATATACTTTAAAATATATGATGGGAGAGGGGGCTCATAAAGGCACAAGTGTCCAGGACCCACAAATGTTATACTAAGGTCCTTGCTGTGTGGACGTGAAACATAATACCCAGTGAATTTGGTTGTGGGCCTGCTCTATGGCTGGGGCTCAGCTGGAAATGAGCTAAGAGCTTCACACAGAGCTGGGATGTTAAGAAAAGAAGGGGCCTGGGGTTGTTCTTGAAGAAGCCTGGGCAAACAGCCTACTGGAAAAAAAGTAAAAAGCAAATTAGAAACTTCATGAGCGGGAATAGAATGGGGCTGGTTGGGAAGCTAGAGTATTTTCTGTGTAGGATAAGAAGCTGGGCTCAGAGGAATTAAGGCCTTAGGTACCAATTACAAAGGAACCTCCAGGTGGGAGCTGGATTCCTGGAAGCAGAGACCAGCTGAGACAGAAGAGTCCTGTTCTCAGGGTATGGGGATGCCAGAGGGAAAGACTCCTCTCTGGCTGGGTAGAGACTGAACAGGCCTGGAAAGCACTTCTGCTCGTTGTTTGTGTTTCTCACACACACACACACGAAATCATTCCTGGCAGAAAACCTGTGTGTGTTCTTTGTCCATCACAGATAAGATTGCTACGGCCTTGACTTAGACCCATCTCATGCCTCTCATTTTACGTGAGTAAATGAAGCATATTTTATCAGCCCCAGAGATAAGCAATCCAACCAAAGAGTGCTTTCATGAGCTACAAAAGCTTATAAACGTTTTTATCGCCATTCTTTTTTTTGTTTGTTTTTGTTTTTGCAGTTGGCGGGCCTCTCACTGCTGTGGCCTCTCCCGTTGTGGAGCACAGGCTCTAGACTGCGCAGGCTCAGCGGCCATGGCTCACGGGCCTAGCCGCTCCGCGGCATGTGGTATCTTCCCAGACCGGGGCACGAACCCGTGTCCCCTGCATCGGCAGGCGGACTCTCAACCACTGCGCCACCAGGGAAGCCCTATCTCCATTCTTGTAGCAAACTTACAAAATTAACAATGCCTGAGAGGAGTAGGTCTTACCCATAAATCCTCACTGAAGGCAATTAAAACCATCATTCCATTTAGTTGCTGCATTTTCATCAGTTTCAAAAGATCTTGGGTCGAGAAATACTACTGGGTCTGATCTGACTTCTTTGCAATGTGATATAATACAGTGGTTCTCCAACTTAGATGTGTGTAAGAATCACCTGGGGGGTTGTTAAAAAGGTAGATTCCCAAGGACCACATCCCCCCTCCACATTTTGGTTCAGTGGATGCAGGAATCTTCATTTTTAACAAGAATTTGAGTTGGTTTAGGTGCCAGTGACTGGTAGATCGTATTGTAAGAAATAAAGTAAGTCCTCAACATACTAACAAGTTCCATTCAGAGAGCGCGTTTGTAAGTCCAATTTGTTCGTAAGTCTAAGTTAGCCTAGGCACCCAACTAACACAATCGGCTATACAGTACTGTACTGTAATAGGTTTATAATACTTTTCACCCAAATAATACATAAAAACAAACACAAAAAATAAAGAAAACATTGTTACTCTTACAGTACAATGCAGTACAATACAGTCCAGTACCTTGAAAAGTACAGTAGTGCAGTATAACAGCTGGCATCCAGGGGCTGGCATCGAGTGAACAGGCAAGAAGAGCTACTGACCGGAGGAGGGAGAGGAGGTGGGAGATGGTAGAGCTGAAGGATCCTCAGCAATAGGAGACGGAGGGCAAGCTGAATTTCATTCATGCCTGACGTTGATGGCACAGGTTCTGGTTCCTTGCTGGATTCAATTCTATCTACCCTCTTGAAAAAATGATCCAGTGATGTCTGGGTAGTAGCTGTTTTTTTCTCGCCACGGACAACACAGGAGCGCTGCATTGCATTCTAAACAGCTGCTACAACCTTCATGTACTGTTCTATGTTCGGGTGCTGTGCCTCAGAAACTAACAGTGCCTCCTCAAATAAAGAAAATCCCCTTGCCATTTTCTGCGTTGTGAGTCTCTTCGGTTCTTCAGTTACTTCTTTCTCTTGTCTCTCTTCATCCTTTCTCTGGGCCTCCAGTTCCATCAGGTCTTCATTAGTAAGCTCCACGTTTGCATCTTTGAAAGTTCACAGCTTGAAGGTTCGTATGTAGGGAACTTACTGTACCTTCATGGTGCTCAAGGTATAATCTCTAGTGGAGAGAAGGGTTTCTCCACTTTTTGGGCACCTTAGGATCCCCCAGGGAGCTTTTTACAATGCCAGTGTTTTACCCTCAGACTTAGCAATTCCACTCCCATGTAAATATCCACCAGAAATATTCACCAAAAGATACATACAAGACTGTTTAAAGCATCACTACTTCATAATATCCCCAAACTGGAAAAATCCTAATGCTTATCAATCATGGAACAAGATGTCATAGAGTGGAATACGACACAACAATAGGAATAAACAAACTACAACTTCATCCAGCAACATGGATGAATCTCACAAGCATACTTTTCGATGAAAGGGGCCAGACACACAAGAATGCACAAGTACGGTTCCATTAAAACATGTAAGTAAAGTTCAAAACGGGGCACAACTGCTCTATGGTGTTAGAAGTCCAGAGAATGGTTGTCCTTGAGGGTCTGGGGAGGTGGCATGAGGGGCTTCTGTGTCTGTAATGTTCAGTTGCTTGCTGTGGGTGTGGTTACGTGGGAGCATTCACTGTGTGAAATTCATCAGCTTATGCCCAGGTCCTGAGCACTCGTCTTGAAGGGTATGTTAAACTTCAACCAAATATCTATTAATACTTAAGGCTAAAAAAAAAAAAAAAAAAAAGTCAGTGTCTGGGCTCTACCTGAGTCCAGTTAAATCTGAATGTCTTGTGTGAGTGTGGGCGCATGTAGGTGGGAGGTCACAGGCGTCTGCAGTTAGAAGCTTCCAGGTGATGCTACTGTACAGCTAAGGTCGAGAAACACTGCTCTAGAAAAAGCCTAATCTGGGTCTATAGCAAAGATCTTTTACTTATTAATTGTGTGACTTTTAAGGTGACAAACTGTCCCCTCAGATAAACTGACTGACCTGAACGGTTTACCTAACCTCTCCGAGCCCCCTCCTCTATCATAAGAGGTTGATAATGATGTCTACTCAGTAAAGTTACTTTGGACGTTAAATGGGAAAATTACACAAAAGCACTCGGCATCATGCTGACCGCATCCCTCCTCTCCTTCTCTCCTTCTCCAGGGTGGTTCCTCTTCTATCTGATTTCTCCCTTGCCTGACAGACTTTCTCAGGGGATCGTCTACCATTTGGGCTGTCTTCCTCCTTGAGAAGAAAGGGTGTCTTTACCTGGATAAAGATGGAGTTTGCAGGCACAACGTGGTGAATGCACAGGGTGGAGCACCGTGTGGAGTATGTGGACTAAATGTGCATAACACAACACTGTTTATATAAACTCCAGGGCTTCCCTGGTGGCGCAGTGGTTGAGAGTCCGCCTGCCGATGCAGGGGACGTGGGTTCGTGCCCCGGTCCGGGAAGATCCCACATGCCACGGAGCGGCTGGGCCCGTGAGCCATGGCCGCTGAGCCTGCGCGTCCGGAGCCTGTGCTCTGCAACGGGAGAGGCCACAGCAGTGAGAGACCCGTGTACCGCAAAAAAAAAAAACTCCAAACACAGGCACACTTCATACCAATAAGCGTTATGAAAGCATTGACCAAATATGTTAGCATGATGTCCTGCATGAGCAATAGAAATAAAACAGGATAAATATGTAAACCCAACAGACAAAGAGGACTTTGTATGAAACAATGATGTTCATATTCCATGAGGTCAGTTCATGCACCTGACCCCCCAGAAACACATGAATGAGAAAACATAAACTGATATTTAGAAATGTGTATTTTTTATGGAAACAAAGACAAAAGCTCAGGAATCCAATACAGTTGGTTTCCTCCTACACTATCGGGACCCCCATGCCTGAGGACCCCTTCTCATGAGAACATGGTTTTCTGGGAAGCAGAAACGAAGCTTGAGAGCCTTCTCCTGTTCTGGCAATCTTTTCCCCAAATATGTTTTCTCTTATGCTCTCGATGATTCATTTATCCTTAATTACAAAGTTGAATATGTGCTTGATCAGTTTGGACGTCTGGGTTGCTGGTCGTGGATCATTGTAAGTCATCAACCCGCACAAACTATGAGAAAATAGATGTTTGTTGCTTTAAACCATTAGGTCTGGGGATGACTTATCATGCAGCAGCAGATAATACAGCAGAGAGTACCCTTCTCACGCTCGTGGACACATCCTGTTGGCCATCATCTGCCGTCTGCCAGGAACCACCACTCCGTCCAATGAGTGTGTAAAACCTGCACGCGGTGGCACCATTTCTGGGCATGTCAGCCATCTCCACTAGTTATTAGTGTCCCCGAGAATCCCCAGTGCCATCCCCTACCAGATGCTACAGTCTCTCTCCTTCTCTGGTGTTTGTTTATAGGGGTAGCAATAAGTGGAATACAGGGATTGGGGTGTGAGGGTAGCAGAATAGCACAAGAGTTAGTCGTGGAGCCTCTGGACTCTGAAGGCCCGTTTGCCTCTTGGCTTTTCCAGTTGACCTTGTACCTCTTTCTCAGTTTTCTCCTTGGTATAAAATGGGATTAATAATCATATCTACCTTATAGCACGGTGACAATTGAATTGGAGAATGTGTATGGCACTTAGCACAGCGCCTAACTATAAACAAACAAATAAATGGCTCTAGAGCCCAATAATCTGTATTCAAATCCCAGCTCCACCATTTACCTTGAACAAATTACTTAACATCTCGATGTGTCAGTTCCTCATCTATGAAATGGAGATAAGAAACGTATCTACCTCATGAGGCTACTGGAAGAGTAAATGAGCAAATACATGTAATATTATGTAGCACAGGCCTGTTAACAGTAATAACAATAATAGCAAACCGTAATCAGAATCATCTCTCTCCTCACCTGACAATGACGGCTTTTTTTTGCTTGTTTGTTTTAAGCTAGGTAAGACCTGTGCCTGGGTCACTCTTCCTGTGAGATAAGTTCTGAAGCACTTATTCCTCATTTCGTCACAGAACTAAAACTTACTTTTTTTATATAAATGAGTTTGAAATTAATTTTTGATGGCATGAACTAAAAAATGGGCTGCAAGCAACTGCTTCTGGATGATTATATCCACTTCTGAAAATTTTCTGTATTACACCTCCAGCTTACACTGGCTTTCTCCTTTAGGTCAAAGTCTTGACTTTGATTTCCTTGTATTTCAGGATTAAAATCTACTACATTTAGGATTCCTTCTCTGTAGTTGTCAGCAGGGTTTAGGGGAGACTTGCAAAATCCCACAGAGTGGGAATGGTAGCCGGTGTGGATCATCATCTATACACTGGCTTCCCCTGAGATATGACTCATCTCTCCGGTGCTTAGGTGTGATCATCCATCCCTTTGTGCAGTCATCCAAGATGTCCTTATCTCCATCAAGCCCTAGCCATACAGCCCACTCTATAACCTCCATCCTGAATATAACCTCCCCTGAATATAATGTGTAGGATGAACTTGTACACGTCACAACTTTCACAGTCTCAGCCTTGAGATGTTCAGGGGCTCACGCTCCTTCGGAAACCTTACCCTGTAACTTACACACTCAAGGCCTATAAGGTAGCAACAAAATAATTAACAGAGACCCTCAAGCTTGTCTTGCAGAGTACCAGGGAAACCAGGTATGGAAACACTAACAGCCCCTGCCACTGAGCATCACACAGGCACACTGAGGGACTAGAATGATTGATCACGAACCTTGGACATCATATGCCGAAAATCTACCAAGTGTAACGTATGGAACTCTCCTGATATTGCACATGCCACTCATGAAGAGACATGAAGGACATTCACACCTGCACAGAGGACTCCTGAAACTTCCTCTTAACTTTCCACCAATCGTTTCCGAGCCGCCTCCCTGTCTTACTCCCTACTTCCACGATAAATACCCCACTCAAAAGCCCACTGGGGAGACAGGGCTGAGCTATGCCTTCTGTCTCCTCACTTGGCTGCCCTGCAATAAAGCCTTTCTCTTTCTGCAAAAGACCTTTGCCTCTTTTGGTCTTGCTGTTACACAGGGCAACAGCCCCACTTGCTCGGTTACACTTCCTTTCAGCCAATTTTGCCAGTGGACGTCAGTAACCCAGCTGTTCTCCCAATGGGACACCCTGAGACTACCTCAGGCCCACTCACCTGGACACCTCCTGTGGTCGTGGCGATCCAACAGCTTTGGGAACCAGGAGATTCCATCCTAGACTTGGGGTCTTCCCCACAGCCTCACCCCGGGAAACGAGGCACAGTTCTCCTCTGCTTTAGGATGTCCCAACTCAATAGGGTATCCACAGATGCCTGAAGATATTAACAATAATCACCTCTAAATGTGGGACTATGGATGGGTTTTATTTTCTTACTTAATCTATTCTTCATTCTCCACTGATTTTTCTTTTTATATTTTACAAAGAACATAATACTAAAAAATGAAAGTTGTAAATAATTACTGAAACATCACAAACAGTAAGGTGTATTATTCTATAAATGGTAATACAAAAAAAAAAACCTCTCAATTTTGAACCACATTTCACATGATAAACTAAAACAAATTTCCTTTGACCACATAATCCTGCTTCTGGAGAACAAGCCTAAAATTAATCAAAATGTGTCCAATGCTTTACTCACAATGCTATTCCTTGAAATATTATTTATAATAGAAACAAACTAGAAATAAACTAAATGTCTAAGAATAGGGAGAATGATTGAGTACATTATAACCATAAAACAGAATTTTTTACAACAACTAAAAATAGTTGATGTAAAAACAATTTTAAGAAGAGCATTTATGAATGTATAGAAAAGTTTATTTTGTGGTCCTAAGTTTAAAACTATATGTGTAACTGAGCAGGACCCTATGGGGCCTTCTTGGAACTGACCTCCCCGCATGTCCTCTGCCTGTCCCTTGTCAGTAGAAGAACTTAGGCAAAGAATAAATTTAATCAGAGAAGTGAGAAAATGCAGAAAGGAAAATAGTCAAGCAAGAAAAAATAATAATAGTTTAACCATTTAACAAAGTCGAGGACCTTTAGTTCCTCCGCAAGGGCTACAGATAATGTTCTGAGCCATGTCCTTCAAGCTCTATTCCAGATATTGAAACCCCCATCAAGTATAAGAAGTTAACTGTATGCTGCTCACAAGCATGGAGACCCCAGACCAGTTGGAACCAATAAGGTTGATGATGTCGACTCCCGATTTCCTCACCACCAACCTATCAGAAGAATGTCCACGAGCTGATCACACATCCCACAAGCCTCAGCACGTAGCCCCTTCCTCTTTTCCCTGTATATATATGCACAGAAACAGCACTCTTGTAATGGTATCATGAGTGGTGAGAATATAGATGATTAATATTTCCTTGCTTATAATCTACATTTTCTAGTTTTACTATAATGAGCATATATCATTTTGTTATCACAAAGCTTTTTTTCTTTAAGGAAGTGACAAGAATCACTAAATAAATATACGAAGAGTATTAGCATCCTGTCCAGGTGGTTAACAGATAAACATATTCTTATACTTCTGTAATTTCCATGTTCTGAGGGAAAAAATTTGCAACTGTTGAGCAATTAGATTGGAACAAATTAAAATACATGCACCTTTTTTATTTTCCATTTATTAAACTAGCAAAAGAAAAGAAAAATGGATAAAATCTCTAAGTGTCACTCTCATAAAATAATCCATGCATTTTGAATCAGGGAGAACTGGACACAAGGTTGCAATATTTGAAGTTCATTCACATGAATCAATATTACAAAAGGCTGAAAGGGCTTTCCTGTTCTTTCCAGGGTTGGAAATGCCTGCCCACCCCCAGCCTCTAGCTCCTCCCTCTGCAGCCAGAGTCAGCACCATCAAGCGGGGCAGAAGACAACTAATCTGCTCACTCATGACTATTTTGCACTCACCGTGGCCACCTTTGTGGAGCTCAGTACTAAGGCCAACTTGGGCCTGGGCACCTGGAAGGTATGTACGCAAGGATTTGGACACCTACTTCCCTCGAGGGGCTTTGGACATTTTCTCCTGTCAGTAGGGAAAGCTCAGAGGCAAGGGTTTGGAGAGGTAAATGTTGGGCCCTGGAGGCAGGACCGAGGTTGCTTTGCTTTCTCAGGGCTGATTCAGGCTGCAAAGCTCCAAGACTGGCTTTTTCCAGCAGTGGTGAGAGCTTTGCTAGCAACTATCAAGTTTTAAGCAGTTTGGGGACTAAAAAACACACTTGCTTTCCTGGGCACTTTCTCAGCAGCCATTCCCTCTCAACTCCCTCTGGCTCTGGGACACTTAGAGGGCCCTGGGTTGGCTGCTGTGGCCTGGGGGGTTGGGAGGAGGGGCTGGGAGGGCTCAGGAGGCTCTGGCACTTCACGCTGCCCAGGCAGCATCAGCAGTCCCTGGGAGAGTGTTGAGAATCAGAAGCTGAGACCCCACCCCAGGCTACTGAGTTGGAACCTGCTCTTTAACGATCTCCAGAGCATAGTAGAGTCTGAGAAGGCTGTGACCACAGGGAGGGCGGTCCCAGAGAGAGGGCCGCCTGGGCTGGGAGTCGGGGAGCTCGGGTTCCCCAGGTGTTGCTAGAGTGAGCTGGCAAAACCCAGAAAGGCACTCCCAGTGCTCAGGGAAGCAGATTGCGGAGCCTCTCTTAGGATAAGTTTAAAATGTCTTCCCATCACTTTCTAACTGCCTTCGCTCTCACTTCCATCCGTGATGGCGCCATACTAACTAGTTCCAGTTCTCTACTTACCTTCTTCCCTCTTGTCCCTCTGTTGAGTCTTTCTCCTCTGACTCTGTCCTTCTCTGCACCTGGTTTTCTCATCTCCTCTCTTGGGTTTGAAGGTAGGCTCCCTCCTAGCCCCAGGACTGCGTCATTCTCAGGAAGCTGTCTTGGATAATCTGGGCGAGCAGATTAATTCCAGCTTGATTCATCCCAGCTTCTCTTGCTTGAACAGGGCTGCTTTTCTCCAAATCAGAGCTTTGACTTTGACACAGATGTGACAAATAATTACTTCCAGATCTCCAGTGAATCTGCTCACCTCGTCTAAATTTACCCAAAAAGGGGACTTCCCTGATGACGCAGTGGTTAAGAATCCGCCTGCCAATGCAGGGGACATGGGTTTGAGCCCTGGTCCAGGAAGATCCCACATGCCACAGAGTAATTAAGCCCGTGCGCCACAACTACTGAGCTTGCGCTCTAGAGCCCTTGAGCCACAACTACCGAAGCCCGCGCGCCCAGAGCCCGTGCTCCGCAACAGAAATCACCGCAGTGAGAAGCCCACGCACCACAATCAAGAGTAGCTTCAGCTCGCGGCAACTAGAGAAAGCCGGCGCACAGTGTGGAAGACCCAACGCAGCCAAAAATAGAAAAATAAATAAATAAATTTATTAAAAAACCCCCACTAATCTGAAAAAATATAAAGCTAGATGAACTGGGAGATTGGGATTGACATATATACACTAATATGTATAAAATGGATAACTAATAAGAACCTGCTGTATAAAAAAATAAATAAAATTCAAAAATTCGAAAAAAAAAGAATGTAGCACTCAAAGCAGTACTGTATAAAGATATAATCAATGTGATGCCAAGTATTTGGTACCAAGTGTTCATCAAAGATACCATATACTTTTGGTCTTTATTTTTGTACAATAATTACTTTTTAAAAGACAACTTAAAAGTTGGATTACTAAGTTCAACTATGCTTCGTCAATATTTCTTCTTCTAGCCCTACAAAGCAATACTGGATCTACTCTAATAAATGATTTTTCATTGGAATAAATAAATAAAAAGTTTACGCAAAAAATTATGTTCAGAATTTCAGAATTAGATGTAAGGATTATGAAGTGAAACATTTTCAAGGTGTAGGGATGGTGTAATTTTTAAGGCTTATGTGTTTACCAGTGAAGGTAAAGTAGGGTGTAGTGATTGGGAGGGGCATCCAGGGATGCTTCTTTCTTTTATTTTTATGTATTTATCTGGCTGCTTTGGGTCTTAGTTGGGGCATGCAGGTCGCGGTGCGTGGGCTCTTGGTTCTGGAGCGTGGGCTCTAGAGCGCTTGGGCTTACTTGCCCCACAGCATGTGGGATCTTAATTCCCCAACTAGGGATGGAACCCACATCCCCTGCATTGGTAGGTGGATTCTTAACCACTGGACCACCAGGGAAGTGCCCAGGGATGCTTCTGAATGTGTTTATTATTTCATGATGAAAGAAGAGGTTTGAAAAAGATTTTGTGAAAGATCAGTATTAAGTGCTTTTTTTTCAGTTTGGCTTTCTAGATTAGACAGAATGTGGTATTTTTAATGCCCTTCCTCCCTCCCTTCCTTCCTCCCCTCCCTCCTTTCTCTTTCTTTTTTTTCTTCCTTCCTTCCTTTCTTTCTTTTTCTTCCTTTCTTTCTTTCTCTCTTTCTTCCTCTCTTTCTTTCTTTCTTTCTTGCCTTGTGGGGGTCGGGGGGAGGAATAAACCCCATTCTTACAAGGTTTTCTATTTCTCCTTTTTCTGAAACAACAGTTATATAATGCCTTGCATCCATTGACTCTTAGGTGTGTGCCCAGTGCTGTGCTGCAAACTTGACATTCATTGTGGCCCTTAACACAGTGACCTCATGAGGCAGGTGCTATTGTTATTATTCCCATTTTGTAGACTAGGTTTAGAGAAGTTAAGTAATCTGCTCAGGCCACACACCTAGTATGCGATGAGCCTGGATTTATGCAGTAATGACCATTTTCTCTCTCTGAAGATTCCTTTGAGTTACTTCAAAATCCAGTCTTCAGCCTGGTCATTAGAAAGAGGTTGCAGTCTCTTCCACACACCTGGAGACAGCTCCCGGCTGGAGGGTGAACCTGGATTAGAAGGGAGTGGGCTTGAGCTAGGATACGACATGAGGCTATAATCATAAAGTTAATTCACTTTCCTTCCTTCTCTTTTGAAAAGTTTTCCAAAGCACGTTTTCTTCCCAGGTGTCCCCTGGAAAAGGGGACCCCAGGGAAACCTTGGTTTGGAGAAGCTGGGCTGTATAGGAGAGCCTGTTGAAGGTGGTCTGGGGATAAGAGTCTATGATGGTCTTTTCTTTTTCCTTCCAGTCTACCCCAGGCAAAGTCAGAGAGGCTGTGAAAGTGGCCACTGACATAGGATGTCGCCACTTGGACTGTGCTTATGCCTACGAGAACGAGCATGAGGTGGGGGGAAGCCATCCAAGAGAAGATCTGAGAGAAGGTTGTGAAGCAGGAGGTGGGAGGACTGCACTTCAAGGCAGGCAGAAGTATTGGATTTGGTCAGCACCCGGAACTCTGCCAGCCTTTGCTCTAAGTACTCTGGTCATTTCCCCCGCTGCCTTTATAACATCCCTGGATACAAACATCCACACTCTAGCTCAGTATTGGTGTGCAGAGACGCTACTGCTACCTTACCCACCTTGACTGGGTTTTCCCTTTGTGGGGATGGCTCCATTGAGCCATGGCAGTACCCTTAGCATCCCCATTCCCCATGAGTGGGCTCCATCTGCTCCGTGGCAGTTAAAAGCTAAGGCTGCAGTCAGAAATGGATCCTGAAGCTCCACCTTTTTTTTTTTTTTTTTTTTTTTTGCAGTACGCGGGCCTCTCACTGTTGTGGCCTCTCCCGTTGCGGAGCACAGGCTCTGGATGTGCAGGCTCAGTGGCCGTGGCTCATGGGCCCAGCCGCCCCGCGGCATGTGGGATCTTCCCAGACCGGGGCACGAACCCGTGTCCCCTGCATCGGCAGGCGGACTCTCTACCACTGTGCCACCAGGGAAGCCCTAAAGCTCCACCTTTCAGCACTGTGGTCTCAATGGTTGTGGCCCAGACGTTCTCAGCGAGCAGGTATTTTGGAAAATGGTGGGAGCGTTTTTTATTGTCATATATGAATTTCATTTTAGTTCAGTCTAGTAAAAGGCAAGTTACAAAATGTTATTGAAAATCCTTTCCTCCTGCTTTCCTCTCTCTCCATGGGCTGAATGGAAAATTCCTCTTCACGCTTTGGTTAATCCTTACGACGGTGGATCCTGTACCAGCTACTCCTGTCCCAGAGAGGACTAAGCCAAGCCAGGATCCCTGGGGTCCCTCTAGCACTGCCCAAAGGTGTCCCTTTCTATGACAGGCCATGGAGGAACTGGTGGACGAGGGGCTGGTGAAAAACATTGGGATCTCCAAGTTCAACCACTTCCAGATCGAAAGGCTCTTGAACAAACCTAGACTGAAATACAAACCAGTGCTTACCAGGTAAATTCTGTTTAGTAAAGGGTAAGGGTCCTGCGCTATTACTTCTTAAACATTTGGAGGCAAGTTCAGTGCTTTGCACTGAGTCTCATTTGAAGGTCAGTCATCAGGTACTTCGTTGGTCATGTGAGACAGCTCTTGGGGTCTGGTTTAGCCAGGCTAGCAGTGGGCAGTGTTTGGCTTCTGCTTGATGGTCTTTTATTGTGTGTAGAACTCCCTATGAGCAGCTCAAAAAGCAGGTGGACTTTCCTAGTGATGAGGATTGTTCCCTTTTACAGATTGAGTGTCACCCATACCTCAGGCAGGAGAAATTGATCCAGTACTGCCAGTCCAAGGGCATCACTGTCATGGCTTACAGCCCTCTGGGCTTTCCAGATAGACCTGGGCGAGGCATTTGATCTTTCTCTTGACATTCTTTAAGAAAAGCCATCAGATGGCTAGTGGGAAGCTGTTGCTTAGCACAGGGAGATCAGCTCAATGCTTTGTGACGACCTTGAGGGGTGGGATAGGGAGGGTGGGAGTGAGGCTCAAGAGGGAGGGGATATAGGGATATATGTATACATATAGCTGATTCACTTTGTTGTACAGCAGAAACTAACACAACACTATACTCCAATAAAGAGTATAAAATTATACTCCAATTATACTCCAATAAAGATTATTGGAAAAAATAATACTCCAAAAATTATACTCCAATAAAGATATATATTTTAAAAAAAGCCATCAGAAAGAAAAATACATGTAATGCAATGTGCCTGGCATACTCAAACAGTGGGGAAAGTATGGTAATGTTTCAAAAAACAGCAACATGCCTGACCCTCTGGAATTACTCCAGTTCAGCCACCCAGCACTGGATCAACCTTTGCAAAATTACTGACGCTTCAAAGCCCATGGGTAAGACGTGAAGCTTTCACATCCTGCTGCCTTGTCTCCCACATGGAGAAGACTGATGATCAGCCTTAGGACCATCGCTGGAGTAATATTTATTTACATATGGTAGCCATGGTGATTATTCACACCAGCCATCTTTCTCCCTCTAGTGCCAAGGGTCCTTAATCTAGGACTCTTCCCTACTGGAGGATCCCAAGATTAAGGAGATTGCTGCAAAGCACAAAAAATCCACAGCCCAGGTACAAGGTATATAGTTTCTTTTCCGTCCAGCAGATCAGTCTTGTGTTTTATTCCTTGTGCTGTCTTCATTTAACTCCTTGAAGGCGAAAAAAACAGGAAAGGAAGCCCACTGAGGCCCTTCCTTGAAAGCCTGTTTGTTTGGAACTCCAGGAAATCCCATGGTTATCACTGAAACAAGGATGGCATCTAACGGCTTCTGTTGAGTCCTGTTGTCCAGGAAGAAGAGCATGGCTATACAGCCAAAAGATCTGGGTTCAGATCCCAGTTCCACTACTTATCAGCCTCATGACCCCGAACACTGTCGCAAGCCACTTTCCTTATTTTTAAAAAAGGAAGGTTATGAGGGCCTCCCTGGTGGTGCAGTGGTTGAGAGTCCACTTGCCAATGCAGGGGATACGGGTTTGTGCCCCGGTCTGGGAAGATCCCACATGCCGCGGAGCGGCTGGTCCCATGAGCCATGGCCGCTGAGCCTGCGCATCTGGAGCCTGTGCTCCGCAATCGGAGAGGCCACAACAGTGAGAGGCCACCGTACCGCAAAAAAAAATAAATAAATAAAAAAATAAAATAAAAAAGGAAGGTTATGGAGTTGTTGTGCGGATTAAGGGAGACACTGGCAGAGGACTGACAAGCTTCTGATAGTTATAAAGTGCTCTGTCAATACTAGCTGTTGTACTAAAGATACAGTGAATGGCAGAGATGTTTTATTTTTCTGAAACAAAGTAGAGGGAGCAGTCCTTGTAGATAAGTAGAAACACCACGTCCCCTTCTGCACGGGTTCTGATCAGGTTCCATATCCGGAGGAACGTCGTCGTAATTCCCAACGTGACGCCAGCACGCATTGCTGAGAACTTTCAGGTAAGATTCCAGCTGGTTGGCCCGGGTTTTCTCAGTGGAGGAGGGGACGGGAGAGAGTCCCTCACCAGGCCTCTCATGCTGTCCCTGAGTTTTCTGTGGGCTCTTCCCCCTTCCCAGCACCTTGCAATCTCTCAGGCCAGGCAGCTGACCTCAGAGCTGAGATGAATGACTAAGGATGGGCTTGGGGAGCAGCTGGTGAGGTCCTGTCAGGTCTGAGCACAGCTGTACCTCTGATCTGATCACGGGGACTCTGCTATCTTGAGGATATGAAGATTTAAAAGAATAAAGAATAATAATAACCAACATGCATGGAGAATTTACCCCATGCCAGCACTATTCGGAATGCTTTTTGTATGTGTTACTCACTGAATCCTGCAAGCACCCCTTGGAGGTAGATACTCTTGCTCACATTTTACGGAAGATGAAATGCAGGAATGGGGAGGCCAAGGAACTTGCTCAAGGTCACCCAGGTTGTAAGTGGCTGAACCAAGTTTCAAAGGCTCTGGGAGATCTTTGGTTTCGCTGGCAATCAAAACGTCATCTACATACTGAAGTTAGGTTCCTTCGTATAACTGTAGGTCCATTAGCTCTTTGGCTAGGGCTTTCCTGAAAATGGTGGGGGCGTTCTTGAATCCCGGGGGGAAGCACGATCCCGCAAAACTGCTGTTTCAATTTGGTCTCTGGGTCATCCCATTCAAAAGCAAAAAATCCTGAGATTCGGGATTTAAGGGTGTGCAATAAAAGGTGCCTTGTAGGTCCCAAACCGTAGGGCCAGCAGAAATCCCAGGATAAAGTTGTAAGTAAGGTATAGGGGTTGGCTACCACCAGATGAATGTCCTCAGCTATCTGATTTATTGCTCTCAGGTCCTGTACAAAGTGGTATTCGTGGGTCCCCGGCTTCTGGACTGGTAGGATGGCAGTGTTGTATGGTGACTGGCAGAGGCAGATGAGGTTATGTTCAAGGAAGGCAGATATCACTGGCTGGATTCCCTTTCTGGCATGTTCCCTTAAGGGCTATTGTTTTAAGTTCGGGATCTTAGACCCTGGATGGAGTTTCACCTGTACAGGTGTTACCATCTTTGCTCTTCTTGGCCTCCTATCTGCCCAAACATCCTATCTTACCTTCTGCAGGATCTCTTCAGGAAATTCCAGGCACTCAGTCTTTCCTAGCTATAGTAATGTTGCTTGAAGCGAGCAAGTTTGTTCTGGCGGCACCTTAATGTCCATCCTTTCTTGGGAGAAAGTGACTCTTGCATTTAGTTTACTCAAGAAGTCTCGTCCCAGCAGAGGTATTGGACACTCAGGCATGTACAGGGAAACTGCTTCAAATAAGTCTCTCCTATCTGACACTCCAGTGGCTTCCAAAAGGGCTTTTGGAGAGGTTTTGGAGACAGTCACTATCTCTGAGGAGGCTCTGGCCGGTTTAGAGTTTAGCACAGAGAAGGTAGGTCTGGTATCAATCAAAAAATCAACAAGCTTATTTCCCACAGTCATTTTTACCCAGGGCTCCTTGTGGGAAATATCAGTGGAGCCAGTAGTTCCTAGGGGAGACCCTGGGCCCTGTCATTCTTGGTCACTATCAATCATCTGGGGCATCAGCGGAAGGGGCTGTGAGCAAATTATTTCCATATCTGCGGTTTCCCTGGCACTCTGAAAGACAAGCTTGGGGGTCTCAGTTCATCATTTTGTTTCTACCTCATGGGCCTTGTAAATGACAGAGTATGGTGTCACACTTCCCATCCACATTTTTATATTTTTGCTATTTATTTATATATCCATAAATAATCTATGAGATTGTTTTGGGTGTTTTATAAAATTAAAGAAAAATTTTCCTTCATGTGATTATGATTATGATTTCCTTAATTAAAAAGCTTAGTTATAGGATAAAAAGATTAGGTTCCTATTAATAAGTTATATGACATTTTTTGTTTCACTTGAATTTAACCAAACAGAGGTGAATTAAGATGCTGATATAGAGAAATATTTTAAAAAACAACTTCCTAGTTTTTCCTGATTTCACTTTTCACATTTACATCTCGAGCAATGAGAACTTTGCAGGCCTCAGACCCTTCAATCTCACAATTCTAACCAAGACAATGAATCCATCCTAAAATTTGTTCACTGATTTTGGATTGCTGGGAATAAAGCCACACTAGTCATCAGCTAGACCTGAATCCAGTCTAAGATACACACTACAGGTGTGTGTTAAATTAACTCTTTCTACTCTATGATTACGTGATTATGTAGTGCACTCGCCTTTTCTTACGGGGAGAGAGGTTGGGGAGTGATGGGGAGGGGAGGATGGTGAGGCGGGGTGTGGAAAAGGAAGGCAGCTTGTCATGGGAAGTAGGGGACCAGGGAGTGGGTCCTCATGTCCCAGGTATGTCTCTCCACCCGTATTTTTGGATTGAGCTGGAAAGATGGGTACCAGCTAACTGGAAATCTGGGAATCACTGCTGCTGTCCTACAAGTCCCAGGGAGTCTCAGGACTAGACTGGACCCATTAGTATTTAAGTCAGATCTGGTAAATGCCAGCCAGATGGGACCAAACTCCAACTGGGACCTGGAGGGATTTGACTTTCTCAGTAAGACCCCATAATGCCCAACCTCTCAGGCCTGCTTTAGTCATTCATTAACTTGCAATAATTGCATTTTACATGACTAGAATTTTGTACCCTACTTATTGCATTATTGTGAGATTTTGCTATTTTGCTCTATATTATAGAGTTAAAAGGGGTACAGATTAGAGAGAGGCTCCTGTAGAAAATAATTTCCAGTAAAATTTGAAAGGACCCTCATCAGTGAACACTGTTGGAAATAAGCTTTTTTTTTTTGCTTTAATATTGAGTACACATGAGTATAAGAGTGAAACATAAAACTGAACGTAAAAACCATGCAAAAATAATAGGCTGTAAAGAATCTTGGAAAAAAACATTTGCCATGAATATGACAGAAAACAGATGAGTAATTTTCTTACAATCAAAAAAGCTTATTCAAATCAGTAAGAAAAATCTAAGATGTCAAAAGAAAAGCTGGTGAATGAAAATTGGCCAATAAACAACATGAAAAGTTATTCATACTAGTAACCAAAAATGCAAATTATAACAAGCTATCTACACTATCAAATCAATAAAGCTTAAAATAAAAGAAAAATCTATCTAGCAAAATAAACATGTAAGCAGGTTTTTTTTTCTATGTGGTAACCAGTGAATTTCATGTTTGTTATTCTCTTACATAATTTTTGTATTTTCTGAAATAGGAAATTCATGTTTACAATCAGAGATGTAAACATTAAACATTTTTTAAGCATTAAAAAAAATAACAAGGATCCAACTCAATCAGTTATTTGACACACCTATGGGGAAAGTCAAATCAAAGAAACATTTTTACTTGAAGTCATTTTCATTCAGTTGGTCTTTCAACTTTAGAAAACAAACACCCTGAGTGTACTACACGGTGGAATGTGATTACATTGTATTTAAAATTCTTTCCAGTTTGTTTTTTTCTCATTTGTTGTCAGTAGGGTAAAAGTTTTCCCAGCAACTCCAGGGAAGTGCTGCCTTTCAGCACTTTTGTTGGTTCAAAATGGTCAGGCCCCACGTCAGTTAGAGAGAGACGGAAAGACCAAGGAGAAGACTTTGACCATTGTTTAAAAGTTACCCACGATAGGTGGTTGCAGGTTACCGTGTTTGTGGCCTCGGGCCTTTGCCCGGGTTACTCTCAATGCTTGGGATGCTTTATCTACCTTCAGATAGTGTGAGTGATTCTCTGCCTCATAGTCTTCAGCTCTTTGCTCATTTATCATCTACTCAGGAAGCCCTTCTTTCCCCACCCTATTTAAGATTAATCCATCTTCTCTGGGGCTCCCTCTTTCTCCTCTCTGTTTTCCTTTTTTCCATAGCATGTATTTACCTAACATATTATGTGTTTTATTTATTTGTTGTTTGCTTGCTTGCTTGTTCTGTTTCTACCTAATAGAATGTAAGCTCTATGAGAGCAGGAATTTTTGTCGTTTATTTTTATTTTATTTTTATTCTGATGTTTCAGATGAGAAAACTGAAACCAGGTCTCTTAATTGTTACAACCCATGGTGCCTACCTACCTACCTACCTACGCTGAAGTGATTCTATGAAGGACTCTACAACTAATCATAAATTATATTAATTACTGTTATGGATTAAATGTTTGTTACGGAATTCACATGTTGAAATTCTAACTCCTAATGTGATGGTATTAGGAGGTACGATTTTGGGGAGGGGATTAGGTCATGAGGGTAGAACCCTCATGAATGGGATTAGTGCCCTTATAAGAAGACACAGGAGATCTCCCTCCCCGCCCCCCCCGCCTGCCTCTCTCTCTCTCTCTCTCTCTCTCTCTCTCTCTCTCTCTCCTCGCTGCCATATGAAGATACAATGAGCAGATGGCCATCTGCAAATCAGGAAGTGCCAGATCTGCTGGCACCTTGATCTTGGACTTTGCAGCCTCCAGAACTATGAGAAATACATTCCTGTTGTTTAAGTTACCTCTAGCCCATGGTAACTTGTTATAGCAGCCCAAGCTGTCTAAAACAGTTACTAAGGGGAAAGAATTCGTTTACGGTGGAGAAAGGTGGCAGATACCTCTGGTATTAGTTTTCTACTGCTGTGTAACAAATCATCACAAATGGCTTGAAACAACATCCACTTACGATTTCACAGCTCTGTAAGTCAGATCCAACTGGGTTCTGCGCTCAGGGTCTCCCAAGACTGAAATCAAGGCATTGGCCAGGCTGGAATTTCATCAGGAGGGAGGCTTCGGGGAAGAATTTTCCTTCAAACTCATTCAGGTTGTTGGCAGAGTTCTGTTCCTTGTAGCTGTAGGACTGAGGTCCCCATTTCCCTGTGGCTGTCAGCTGGGGGCTGCTCTCAGATCCTGGAGGCCAATCACAGTTATTTGCCACAGGTTTTCTCCAACTCAACAAGGTAGACCTCCCTGGAGTTGAATCCCTGTCACACTTTGCATTTCTCTGACTTCCCCTTTTGCTACCAGCCAGAGAAAACTCTGCTTTGTAAGGGCTGATGTGATTAGACTAGGCCCACAGATAATCTTCCTTTTGCCATAGATATAACTAAGCAAAATCATGGCAGCAACACCATGGGCCAAGGTCATAGGACCACCCTAAAATTCTGCCTACCACCCCACCTTAATCAAGTGATCAGTTTAACATTATCAGTAATAGGACAAATTGAAATTATGTATCACCTGCTAGGAGGCAATGAGAAGAAGCTAGCATCACATCTCTGATATCCCTGCCAAAGTTGTATAACTTGAATATAAACATGAGGAAACATCAAACAATCCCATCAGGAGAGCTGTTCAACAAAATCGGTGGTCATGTATCAAAATGGCAAAGCTGAAGCTCAAAGGGATGGAAAAATAGAGTATTCCTTTCTACAGCATATTAAGAATATAATTAATGTTTTTCAAAGTACACAGAAATGCCAAGGGTTTTGTCAAGGTCCCAGGCCACTCCTTTATATAGCAATAAGCAGGGTTTTAAATAGTTTTTTTTAATTTTAAAAGGAATTAATATTTACTGATTTTTTTTTACATATTTCTCCTAGAATTCAGCACGCAATAAATACATAGGACTACTTTTTAGTTTCTGTTTTTTAAAAAAAATCAGCCTTTTCTTTTTTATTTTTTATTGTCTTGGTGACCTTAGTCTCTAGACATGACCAGAAACAAGGTCATGAGGTTCCACTTTTTGAGGAGCCCCACTGCCTTCTATGTGTATTGTTTCTCTGCACTTTGCACTACCATGTCCAAACATCAATACAATCTAATCAATTGTTACATGGTTGGCCAAGTTCCCCACACCATGACTTTGCATATGCATCCTCCTCACCCTGTCTTTGGATCTGGGGCTTTGGCCTTCTGATCCAAGGCTGTCGCTCTCTCTCCCAGCAAGGCAAGGGCAGCGGAGTCAGAGGCGGCAGTCCTCTGAAAATCAAATTATCCACAAGCCCCAGCTCATTCTTTCTTTTCACAACCTCTTTTTCCTGTTAGTTATTGTAATAAAGCAACACACACATCACCGAAATATATTCTTCAGAGTAAATCAAATACCGAGTATTTTCTTATAAGTCCAGAAACAGGTTAATAGATTGAAGTTAGAACCTACAACTCTTCCAAAAGTATTAATAATTGCACATGTGCCAAAATAAAGCTCCCTCTCTTCTGCCTGCCTCTCAGATGATGTAGCTCTTCTTGGACCCCACACTTCCCACTTCCTGGCAAAAATGTGAAACCAGCTAGTTCTAAGGGCCCTTGAACTCCTGAACTAATTCCTTAATTTCTGCTTAGGATTTCAGAGGAAAAAGAATGATCTCAGGAAAATACATCCCTCTACTTCTTTCTTCCCTGATTTCAGAACTTCAGATGTGCAGCTTCTTTCAGATTTGCTTGGTTTATTTCTAAACCAACAGGTGATATTCAAAAGCAGAAAATACTGCTGTAACTGTTGTGTGCTAATGTTCCGTAACTTATTTCATTTCTACCTGTAAGCTGGAAGCCAAGCACCCAGACAAGGATTTAAATATTTGCTTCATCCTAACTATCAACCGTGTAACATCATCCAGTATGAATCTGTGAACTGAAAAAAAACCTCGCACAATGTGAGGGCTGTGAGTTAAGTTATATTCATGTTCTTACTGAGGACTATAGCCCAGGAGACTATGGCCTCTTGGTAGCTCTGAGAAAGTACTCCGAAGAGGTAGGGGGGAAGGCTAGCTCATATATGATTTTTTTTGGGGGGGTGCTGGGGAATATGCGCAGTCAAGTATGCATCTTGGTAAAAGATTGCTGCTAGTCATGAAGAACAGGTAACTCAAGTCAATGATTTTAGTGCTTTACTATGTATGGGAAAATGCAAGAAGCTGGATTCATTAAAGTTCTTCCTGAGATACAATACATCTAACTATCTAAGGGGCCTGCTCGTCAGAAGCACAGAGCATCCTGTTATCATCTTCATTTCCTCTGTCTGGAGCACAGAGTTTTTCACCCTGTTATCGCCTTAGTCTCTTCTGTCTGAAGTAAGGGATGCACTGTTGGTCAGCCACTGCAGTGGGTTCATATTCGTAGAACTGGATGGTGAGCGAAACACTCTTTGTTCTTCTTCTGCTTGCAAATCTACCAGTGGATAAGTGGCACATTCACAGCTGCATGCTCTACAAGCTCTGCTGAACAGATAGGTTTGTCTCCCTGGAGTTATGCCCTGCTTCTGTGTATGAGGTAGGCCAGAGCCAGCAGCTGAGGGAGCCCCAAGGCTAAAGGGCAGCTGTGCATTTTGGGCTGTGGCAGAAATGATAGGGCTGATTTAAGAGATTCACCTGGTACCAGCCAGGCTAGACTCACAGGCTATCAATGCTGGTGGGGCCTTAGAGGCACTGAAGGTCTTCCAGGTCTTCAAACATCACAGTCTGGCTAACGCCCAGCCTTCTCTTCTGCCAACTAGTATTCAGAATTCACTTCTGCCCACTAGTATTCAGAAAAATCTTGTGTTGAGAGAGGTCTTTCTTATGCTGAGGTAAAATTTGCCTTCCTATATCTTCCACTTATAGATCTCAATTCTGTATGCTGTGACCACACAGCATCCTGATCCTTGTGTAATAAGGAAGAACAAATCTGACTCCATATTGGATCTGTTTCTTTTACTTTAACCTTTGTATTCTATTGCTTTTGCTACAAGTTAATCACTAAAGGGATGTTGCCTAAAATATACATAATGGCCTATCTCTGGGAACCCTGCTTCCCATGCAATGAGCATTAAGTTAAAATACCTTTGTTTAGGGCTTCCCTGGTGGCACAGTGGTTGGGAGTCCGCCTGCCGATGCAGGGGGCGTGGGTTCGTGCCCCAGTCCGGGAAGATGCCACCTGCCGCAAAGCGGCTGGGTCCGTGAGCCATGGCCGCTGGGCCTGCGCGTCCAGAGCCTGTGCTCCGCGGCGGGAGAGAGGCCACTGCAGTGAGAGGCCCGCGTACCGCAAAAAAAACAAAAACAAAACCAAAAACCTTTGTTTAGCTCACAGGAAACATCCTGACCAGGCCCACCTGTGAATCGCTGCAGGAAAGAAGAAATTAACATAACCCCTCTGGAGTATGGCCAGAACCAGGAAATATCTGCAACAACTTATTGCCTTTTTTACTTTACCTCTTCACCTCCCCCTCTTCGTTCTATAAAAGAAACTAGCATCCAAACCTGGGTAAGACAGTTCTTTGGGACATTAGTCCACCATCTTCTCAGCCTGCTGGCATTCCGAATAAAGTCGCTACTTCTTGCTCCAGAAATTTGTCTCTCAATTTATTGGCTCGTCATGCAGCGAGCAGTACAAGTTTGGACTTGGTAATGCTGTGAAAACCCTCCAAATATTTGATATAGCTGTTATAGTTCTATGTTATACCCAGTTGTTTTGGGTAAATATCACCAATTAATTGATACAGATGAATGGATAAAGAAGATTGACGAAAAAAAACCACACACACTAAACACACTCACACACACACACACACAAAGAAGATTGACAGACGAATGGATAAAGAAGATGTGGTACATATATACAGTGGAATATACTCAGCCATAAAAAGGAATGAAACTGGGTCATTTGTAGAGACGTGGATGGATCTAGAGACTGTCATACAGAGTGAAGTAAGTCAGAAAGAGAAAAACAAATATCGTATATTAACTCATATATGTGGAACCTAGAAGAATGGTACAGATGAACTGGTTTGCAGGGCAGAAATTGAGACACAGATGTAGAGAACAAACGTATGGACACCAAGGGGGGAAAGTGGCAAGGTGGTGGTGGTGGTGGGATGAACTGGGAGATTAGGATTGACATATATACACTAATATGTATAAAACAGATAACTAATAAGAACCTGCTGTATAAAAATAAATAAAATAAAATTCAAAAATTCAAAAAATAAATTAAACGAATGAATTCATTTTAATAATTTAATTTATTAATACATTATCTCATAAATTAATTTTTAATATTAAATCAAGAGTAAATTAATTAAATTCAATTAATACAGTTTAAATTGGACGTGTCTTTAATTTAGTACTGATAGCTTTAAGAGACAACAAGGGTCAAGCTGAACCTTCGAGGATGCCAGCCAGTGCATTGGTGAGGTCATTTTGAAGCCAAGGTCTAGTCTACAGTGTTGCAAATTTAAAAGTTCATCTTTGTTAGTTTACTCAGAAGTGATCTGAGTTGGGATAATCCATAATAATCTAGTTCATAACAAACGGATAAATGGGGCAGGATTCTAAGTGACTGTTCTGAGAGAGGTACCCATCATGCAGTCTAGAACATACATGTATCTGCTAGTCACACATTATCTTTTCATTAAATAGAAAGCCTTTGAAAACTACTTGAATATCGGGAGAGATTATAATAAAAACTTTATTCTGAGGCACTTACCTCTTGACTGAGCACCCAGCTGAGCACACTGGCCTATGCCTGCGGGCCAGTGAATGGATTCTCTTTCCATAGTGCTGAAGGGGGAGTCTGACAAATTCTGGATGAATGATTCTTCTTGTTAAATATTCTTTATCTGCCACAAATGTGCTTCATCATCACATGTCTGTATTTGGCAGTACGTAGTAGTTAGGAGTCTTGGCTCAAGTCAGTTAAGTATTTACTAATTGAATGACTGAATAAATGAATCAGAAATCATTGCACAGGAAGAACAAGGTCAATTAAAATTGGACAGAATAGATTTTATGTTAGTTTGTGAATTTTTCAATGAAAAGTTTGAAAGCACTGTCTTTGCAGATGAGATTTTTAACAGCTGCCACCCCAGTCCTAAGTTAGGAAACACTCCAGCCATCAACATTTGTAACTGTTCTGGACTAAATATCTGTGTACCCCAAACTCATATGCTGAGACCCTAATCCCCAATGTGATGGTATTTGTAGATGAGGCCATAGGAGTTAGATTAGATCATGAAGGTGAAGCCCTCATGATGGGATTGGTGGCCTTATAAGAAGAGGAGAGAGAGAGAGATCTCTTTCTCGCTCTGTATGCACCCAAGGAAAAACCACGTAAGAACGTAAGGAGAAGGTGGCTGTCTACAAACCAGGAAGAAGATGTTCACCAGGAACCGAATTGGCTGGCACCTTGACCTTGGACTTCCTGGCCTCCAGAACTGTGAGGATAAATGTCTATTGATTAAGCCACCCAGGCTGTGTTATTTTGTCAGCCCGAGCTGACTAAGAGAGTAACATATCATTCAGAGTAGTAAGTTGATTCTGAGATGAGATGTAGGCTAGCTGTTTTCTTACTTTGCCTTGAAAAGGATGAAATTTCTGATGTCTTTCCCATTCAGCTCAATAAATGTACCATGGAGGACTCTGTAGGTCCTGTGCTCTGTCTACAGTGGAGAGGGCCTGCAGAGGAGGACTGGATGGATGGTCCCAGTCCTCCAGACAAAGGAGGATGTGAGGTCATCTGCTGTGGTAGAGGAGCTGAAATGCAGAAAGGGACTTCAGCGAGTGGAGAAGGCTTAGAATTGCTTCTGTGAGCAATGCCCCAAGGAATTAACTAAGGATGAAAAGAGGAAACTTCAGCAGCCTTGAGGTTACCACTGAGGTTACATATCATGGACTTAGAGTTGATCCAATATGTAGACTTTTGTAACTTTCTGCAGGAGCACCTGGCCGCCTGGAAGGAGAGAGACAAGAGGGTCGATTCCATCTAGCACTGGGGATTGGCAAGGCAGTTAAGAGCAAAGGATTCCAGGAGGCTTGTTGACATTAAGTAACTAACCCTCAACTAGAAAGAGCTTCAGAGCAGTTGGGCAAGGGATGTTTCAAAGCAGGAGGAGACTACCCACGTGTATAGGTATGAAATGGTTACACACAACGAACCTGGGAGAACCCTGCCATCTCCCCCATTGCTTGGGTCTAGCCACTTCTCTGGTTTATACTTACATGAGGATCAAGATCTTCTTGTCCCCTGCTGCCTGATCTCCCTGTATGCTCTATCCTTTGTTTAATTCCACTTCCCCTTCAAACTTGAGGCTCCCATTATAAATAACAATGACCATACCTGACTTGGTGCCCAAGTTGGTGGACAGTTTAGTTGAGACTCTGCTGCCACCTGGTGGTCCTTGGTCACTTCAGATGTCCACGGTATCCAAGCTAGGAAGAGGCAAGTGAAACCAAGACAGAGCTGAATACTCATACCTGAATACTCGGGTATGAGCATTCAAGGGGTCTGGAGTCCATGTGAGGTTAAAAGAAAAATTAGTAGGTATGAGAAAGACAGAAAAATAAGAGTTTGTGGCCTAACAGAATTTCAGAGTTTGAAATCTTGATGACAGAGGAGTATTAAGTATCAATACCAAAGGAGTAGCCATGGTTGTGTGCTTCTAAAAATGTCCTGAAGACAATAAAGTTGAAGGTCAAAGAATCCAGGGCCAGGTTGTTGCAAGCACCATTCACATTCTCCACTTGGAGATGAACATCCCTGTGTTAGAGTCCATGTTTCAATAATATTTTCCATCTCCCACACTTCCCAACACATTGTCTACAAAATGTTGGTTGAATTGGTTTGAATGTTGAAAAATCACTAATGGTGATTGCAGGGGGTGGAGTGGAGATGACAGCTGGGATCTGGCTGAGCTAGTTTCAAATACTTGGCTTTCTCAAGTTAAGTAGCTGCTTTCAACATTTCAGTGACTGCTCCAACACATGGCCATTGGGAAAAATCTCCCCTTAACGTGGTACTTTACAGTTTCACGTATATCCTCCTAGGGCAAGAAAGCATCCATGATGTTGCTATGCGCTCATTGCCTGAAATGGGCAAACCACACTCAGAATTGCCCTTCTTACCTTCCCTGCCATTTATTTTCCACCGTGAACTTTCTGTAAGGAAGATTTTCATCCAGTTCTTAACATAGTGCTCGTGGATCCCAGGCTTTGGGGAGGCTCTGAAATCAAATGCAAAATTCTATGCTTGTGAATACTTGTTTACTTTCTCTCATTAAAAAAAAATAATTCTTAAAGGAATGTGTGGCCTATGAAAGAAGAACCCTGACTTTAGGCAATTTGACTTCCTTTGATCTCAGGCAAGTTTCTGTACCCTTCAAACTCCATCACCTCTTTCCTTCTTTCTGAGTTTGTAAAAGTTTTTGGAAGTTAATTACTCTACTTTCCCATCCTTCTCCTGGGAAGTTTGCAATTCCTGTACCTCTGCTTCCTGGGTAGCTCTGCTCTTGACCACACTGTTCTCAGTCAGTTGGGTCGTTGGCTGAACCAGAAGGGTTCCCTTCTCTACTCCCTGAAGGGTAGAGGATTTCTAGAGAATTTTTCATTCCTTACGTAGTGGATTCTACATTTCTTTTCTTTTTCTTTTTTTTTTTGCGGTGCACAGGCCTCTCACTGCTGTGGCCTCTCCTGCTGCGGGGCACAGGCTCTGGACGTGCAGGCTCAGCGGCCATGGCTCACGGGCTCAGCCGCTCCACGGCATGTGGGATCCTCCCAGACCAGGGCTCGAACCCCTGTCCCCTGCATGAGCAGGCAGATTCTCAACGACTGCGCCACCAGGGAAGCCCCTGATAAGAATTCTTAATACCACTTCCCACCTAAAAATTAGCAAAAAATTCCCAGAGTCATTCAGGGTTAAATAGTGGATGAGGGTAGTTTTTCTTGTTCAGAAAAATTTCAAGCTGAAAAAAAAAACCACAAACTTTACCATTGCTAAGCTATCAAACTGCTGTTTAGTTGAGCAAGTCAGGATATTCAGCTTCTATTGCTGACAAAAATTAATAGAACTGAAGTTGTGTAAGTATACAAGAGTGAATAAAGTTAATTTTTTTTTACAGTATTGGTTCAATAACTCATGATAGATTCAAATATTGCCTTTGAAGTATCTGCTGATGAATCACACAAAGAATAATCACAGTCTTTAATATCCTTCTTTTCCACAAGCTTTGTAAATTTGTCCAACTAAGCCTTTTCCTGCTCCACACCAATTTTTATCACCAGGAGTTGTATACATCTTAGCAGATTCCACTTCAGGTTGTACTAAATTCTAAATTTTCTCAACTTCTTTGAAAATATTCTTGCTTGTAGCTCAACACAGACTGTTCATAGAAGCCAGTTGTTCAGTCACTTCAAACTTGGCATTGACACATCCAAGTAAACAACAGCTGACCAGCATCAGTACCATCTTGTCAATTCATGAAGATACAAGGAAGAATACTCAGAACCATTAACATTTTTTTTTTTTTAAACTAACTATTGATGTTGCTACCAAGGTCCTCAACTCCGAACAACTGTTCATACCAAAAGGCTGATCATCTTAAACAGGTTTATTTTCTCTGGACACATTTATTCAGCTTCTATGATCAAACACAATTTAATTAACTTGCCATCGGTAAATGGCTTTCCTTGCTTGCTAACAAGTGAGCCACTCAGAAACTCACTTTCTTTGCAGCCTCATTTACATTTTTAATTCTTGTGAAGAAATTCTGCTATAATGAGGTATTCTATTTTAAATTTCCTAATTTTTCCGACTGTTGCTTTCCTGTGAGTTTGGGGTATTGTGATGAGTGCTTAACCTGGAAATGTTGACATATCTTGTGTTATTTTAGCACAGTTATAGTGTCATTGCCTAATAAATATAATTCAATAACAAACCAACCACCCTCCACCAGTGATTTAAAAGTGCAACATTTGAAGTCCACTTTTCTTGTTTAGATGTGAAAACATGTCTGGTAACGTAAAATAGAACAAAATAAAATAAAATAAAATGGTATAACAAAATGCTTAGCATTTGTAACACTGTTTTGAGTGGGTTATGACTCATTGAGTGATAAGCATGAAGTGACGAGAGTTCCACATACGGTCTCTGTTGCAACTTTTCAACTCTGCTGTTGAAACTCAAATGTATCCATAGATAATACATAAGTGAAAGAGTGTGACTGTGTTACAATAGAACTTCATTGACATATACTAACCCTTAATTTCAAATATTTTTCACATCACAAAATATTCTTCTTTTGATTTTTAAAAACCATTCTTAGCTTGTGGACCATACAAAATAGACACAGGCCATAGTTTGCCAGCCACTGGTCTAGACCATTGTACCTCTAAAAGTTCCACAGATCTGTCAGGTTCCTGAATCTTTGTAGGGTTTATTTCCTATCACCTGAGGTGCACATTTCTTAATTAGGCATTCAAAGCTCTTGCCACTTTTTGTTACCAGGTCCAACTGGCATGGTGTCATCAATATAGTGGACCAGTGACCAGAATGTCCAGGCAATCAAGGTCCATCATTATCATCCATGATCTATATACTTTAAGTGATGATCAAACTGGTGCACTGAATGGGGTACTATGGAGAGCATCACTCCTGCATCCTTGAAGTGGTTGAGGGTGACATGAATCACTGCAGGATGTCCTTTCAATTTACTATCTTTGCCCAGGGATGGGGATCAGGGAGGACTTTTAGGGGTTTCCACTTAGCCTTTCCTACTATAAAGATTCACTCCACAGAGAACCAATGTGAGGGTTCTTCCAGTTGTTAAATATTCCACAGCCCCCTGACTTGGGGTAGGACTCCATATACCAATTGTTCTCTAATCATCCCCACTCTAATAAGGAGGCTGATGCTATTTTGGGTTGCTTGGTATTCATGTTGACTTATCCACAGCCTTCAAAATACCTGAATATTCACTTTCCCCAGTGTGTAGTTAATCTGGTAAATGTCTGCAGGCCCTTTTGAGGAAGGATTGCTCATAGCTATGATAACTACTTGCTATGGTGTTTCAGGGACTTTCTTCAAGGGGACATGGCTCTTCAATCAATGGATTCTGAGTCTGAAAACTGCCTCAACTCTTGAAACTGGACAAGAGACCATGATTTTCCATTGTGGTACTGACTGACTCAAGATCTTTCTTGGATATATAAATCAAGCAATTGCCTGCCTTTATAGCTTGTTCCTAGGATACCATGGTTTGTTAGTCTTTGGCACAGATTCCTGTGGTTCAAGTCCCCTTGCTCGTCACTCTGACCTTGTTATCCATGAGGATAATCGCACCAACCTGTCTTCCTTTTAGACTTATTGTATCAATTAACACAGCAAATTAATTCCACCAATCCTACCTTCGCTCTGACAATTATATGCTCTCAACTTGCTTCTTCTACTCCAGAGTTCTATCATCCCCCCTGACACCAGGGGGCCCAGTTTTCCCAGCAGTATTTCCTACTTGAACTACAACCATGGCCTACAGAGGACAGAAAACACTGAGTTTGTTAAGATTCTAGTGTCTCCCTCATGAAGCATCACTTCTTACTTTAGTGAAGAGAGTGTTCACTCACCTTCCTGAGAAACATAGTCATCTGGTGATTCTCTGCTGTTGCACAAATAAGTCAGTTCTAATAGGCCCGCCTTTCTGTGCCTTTGACCCCTTCCTCTGCCAAGGAATTTCCATCATCTCCACCTCATTTACTGTAGGCATCCTTTTTTCCCAAACTTTGAGGAGCTATTCCAGGAGTTTATTAGGAGTGGCTCCAGGTGCCCTTGCCAGGGCAAGCTGCGAGAGGAGAAAGCAAAGAGCAAGGGGAGTGAAAGAATAGACCACATATCTTTTCCCACTGGTAAATCCTCAAACCCAAAATCAGTTCTAAGCTGAGGGAGGGGAAACACTTTGAAATGGATGACAATTTGAATTTTCTGGCTGGAGAGTATACCTTTTAATACCTGAAAAATCAGACTATTTAATACCCAACCGTGAATAGAAAGTGAACGGGGAGCCATTGGATCTGCCCATGGTATCTCCAAGGAAGAGTGAAGGGAGAGCCAACAGTGTTTTTGAAGGCAAAGGTAAAAGAAAAATAGAGCGGTTCCCTCATTGTACATTATCAATTATAAATGGTTCAAACGACCAGTTGAAAAAGTGTTGAAGTACAAAATTGTGTTGCTACCTTCTAGTTCTTTGAGTTGTTTTTTCCATTTAGGACATGGGCTACAATGAGCCATTATGCAAGTGAAACCGCTAAGCATTCTGTTTTTACAAACACAGGTAACAAAATATATTCAATCTGCATACCATAATATGTGAACTGGTCTTATTAGTTGAGAAGTAGTGACATAAGGGCCATACAAAGGTCTTAGCCATGAAGTCTGGAGCTCAGTGAAGGGAAAACCTCACCCATGATATGGGGGGTGCTGGTCAAAGCAGCTTTCATGAAGCAGGTGATATTTAAAAGGACTTGAAATGCTGAGTATGATTTTGAAAGATATATAAAAAGAAGTCTTTCCAAGTAGAACGACAGGAAGAGGCACAGTGGTGTGTTACTAGGGATGAGAAATTCAATTTAGGTGAAACAAGGACTGTAACGGCAAACAGTACATCCACGTAGGGATGTCATGGAAAACTAAGCCTGAAAAAAACATGTTTGACTTGTACCTGGAGAGTCCTGGACAGCATGGAGCAGGATTTATACTTCATATGGAGGCACAGGAGTGACTGATTGAAATTCAAATACTTTCCCTAGTATTTTTCAAAGAATTTCCTGAATATGATTTTCAAGTTGTTTTTAAACCGAGTCTCAAGACAGAGCAAGTGGGAGTAAGAATCTGCTAAGGAGCCAGTGGGCAGGTAATTGCCGAAGCAGAGCACTGAAGGGGGGGGGGGGGGGGGGGGACTGGCTGTACCATACCACTCGGATGGGAACGACCTGGCAAACAGAGAGAGCCCTAAAGATCGGTCTCTGTCCACCAGCCAGCAACAGCTGAGGTGGAAGGAGGCAGGTGTCTCTTACTCAGGCACTGCTTCTGGATTTGGCATCCTCCAATAAATCCCTCTTCCCTTGAAGTCCATCTCCGGCCCTGTCCCAGTCTGCTCCTGGTCTGAGTACAGAAAGTGAACGGTACACCACTGTGTCAGATCCTGGAAACAAAGGGCCTTCTTCTGAAGTTGATTGCTTAACCTTCACGTTGAATACTGGAGCCCAGTATCAAAAGACTATGCTCATATTAGCAAGCATATACTTGATCTTCAAATGGAAGAGAGTCATTAGAATGCTGCTAAGGTGTTGAAAACATATCGATAATTGTCTTAGAGAGTTGGTGCAGGGAAGTAATGTGACAGCACGTGTAAAGTGGTTATCACTTCCTGGCACAGAGTAGACACTCAATATTAAGTTCCCTTTCTATCATTTTTCTATAGAAGGGAGGGGCACAGAGTAAGTAATTTATCTCTTACACACTCCCTCCTTGAATCTCCCTGCCCAGCGCAGATATACCCATCACTATATTCGCCATTCCTGCGGACACGCTTCAGGTGGATGGTCTGAGCCTTGTACCTTCCCATCCCCTTCTTCTGGACCCCTGTGGCTTGATGCTGTTCCTCTATGATGCAATGCCTGAAGCAGTACTCAGTTCCCCAGGTATGGGCTGATTAGTGAAGGAGAAACAAAAAGGTTTCTTCACCTTGGCCTAGATACTACAATTCTGTTTTTCCAAGCTAAGATTTCTTTAGGGTTTTGTTTTGCTACGTTTTGTTAAGAAGCCACAACTTGCCATTGACTCATATTCAGCTTCTAGCCAACGGAAGCCCCTGAGCCTTTTTTTTTTTCCATGTGATACTGTTAAATCATCTCTCCCCCACCCAGATCTTGGACAGCTGTTTGTTGTTCTAGATCTGAGTAAAGGATGTCTGTTAAATTCCATCTTGTTAGATTAATTTTCTCCATTCTAGCCTATCACAACATAAAAATTCTTGTTAAGTAAGTGAAAAATTAAATGCAGTGCATTGGCATACAGATGTCAGACTAAGGCCCAAAACATCAAATCATGGAAACCCCTCTAGCAGCAGAGTATAGCAACAACAAAACACCATAGAAAAGACATATGCTGTAGTTTTCTTAACAAAAATGACCCACGAGCCATATAACTCACCAGTGTTAGTCTCTGTTAACTTCCCAACATGCTAGACTCAAAACTATTTTTCAGAATATATTAATTAAATCTCCAGAACATATGATTTCTTATTACAGTCCAGTATTTATATATTTGTATTTATTTACTTTTTTTTGAATGAAAGATTTTTACAATTCTATAGTGCTTCATAATTTTCTTTTTAAAAATATTTATTTATTTGGCTGCACAGCACACGGGATCTTTAGTTGTGGCATGTGGGATCTAATTCCTGACCAGGGATCGAATGCGGGCTCCCTGCATTGCGAGTGTGGAGTCCCAGCCAGTGGACCACCAGGGAAGTCCCTACAGTGCTTCATACTTTTCAAAAGCTTCACACAGATGATTTCATATAATCCCATAATGACCCTTTTTTCTCCTACCCCATATTGTCCCCCCCCTTCCCTCTTCCCACCTATGTAAATAGTCTCACCTATGTAAATAGTCCTTTTTATTAAACTCTCTTCAAATTACAAAGTTCCTTTGGGGACTGAAACTGATACAAGCTGTCAATCAGGATTCAATGGATAAAATAGAAATAGTTCTGAGTATTTTAAAAGAGAGAAATTTAATACAAAGAATTGGTTACATGGATATTGGAAGACCTGAGAGGCCAAATAAGTAAGAGTAAAGGAACCCAGAAATCAGCAACAGATGGAAGCCACTACCATTCCTATGACGGAGGGACAAAAAATACTGTGCTCTCAGATCCTGGAGGCTGGAGTGCCCTGGAAGAAGCTAGAAGCTAGTTCAAAGGGAACTGGAGCCATAGGAGAGACACGCTGCTGCCTGGAGGTGCAGGCTGAGACAGGAGAAAATATCCCTCCCTCTTCCCTCCTCCAACTCTCCAAGCTTGTGAGTTGACTGAATCTGACCAGAAGCCAGCTAACATAGGAGTCTGAGAAAAGCAGCATGCAGGAGAAAGCAGAGCTGCACAAGGTCGTGATCAGAGAACATGCACCTCATACCACACAGAGAAGACCCTTCTAAATAAGGTGATATTTCAGTAGAGACTTTAAAGAAGTAAAGAAGCAAACCATGCAGATATTTGGAATAAAAATGTTCCAGGTTGCAGGAGAAAAAGTGCAAAGGCCCTAGGAAGAGCATGTTTAGGGGCACAGGCAACGAATGATCCTACAACAGAAACAGCACGGGAGTGGTAGGAGATGAGGTCAGAGGGAAAGACAGGCAGCAGACCATATAGGGCTTTATATGCCATACGATGGGCTTTGGCTTTTGCTCTGAGATGAAGTCACTGGCAAGTTTTGAGCAGAGGAGTGACATGATCTGACTATGGTTTAAGAGGATCCTTGTGGCTGCTGTGAGGAAAAGAAACTTTAATGGGGCAAGAGACCAAGAGAAAAAACAGTTTAGAAATTATCTCAATAATTGAGGCAAGGTAGCTTGGGTGAGGGCCAACAGGTAGAGGAGAGGTAAGATTTGCACCTATGTTGAAGATGGAGCCAACAGACGTCGTTGTTGGGTTATACGTGCATGTGAAAGGAGTGGCATCAAACTGACCTCAGCTTGAGAAGTGCAGGTTTGGAGGGGAAACCAGGAGCTCACTTAGGGACACATGAAGTGTGACACGGCTATTAGGCACCCACACACAGCTGTGAGGGAAGGCTATTGAACAGTGATTCTGGAAGCTGGGAGATGTTTGGACCGGAGATGTAAGTGTGGTGGTCACGGCATATAGACAGTACTTGTCTTAGTTTGTCTACCTGTCTAGAAGCAGACCCTGACAAGAATTTGAGCGCAAGTAGTTTATCTGTGAGGAGAGTTCAAGAATTACCAGTAGAGAAGAAAAGTGAGACAGGAAAAGGAAGAGAATCAATAAAATGTGCATTACGAAAGAAGTCATCTCTGTCGGCAACTGAAATTTGTCCCATTGTGGAATTCTGGGAGAGAATGTCGAACAGGCTTCCAAGGAATGTAATAGGGGCGGGGCAGGCAGTCCTGCTCAGCCATTGGTCGGCATCGCAGTGGGCCCCTCTCCCAAACGAGCGACCGTTAGTGAGCAACTGTTACGGAGCAACTGTTAGCAAGTGACCGTTAGCAGTCCCACTCAGCCATTGGTTGGCATCTCGGTGGGCCCCTCCCCCCTTCCTCTGTATAAAAGGAGCCCGAATTCGGACTGAGAGAAGATGGTATTTTTGAGACACTAATCTGCCATCTTCTTGGTTATCTGTGAGGAGAGTTCAAGAATTACCAGTAGAGAAGAAAAGTGAGACAGGAAAAGGAAGAGAATCAATAAAATGTGCATTACGAAAGAAGTCATCTCTGTCGGCAACTGAAATTTGTCCCATTGTGGAATTCTGGGAGAGAATGTCGAACAGGCTTCCAAGGAATGTAATAGGGGCGGGGCAGGCAGTCCTGCTCAGCCATTGGTCGGCATCGCAGTGGGCCCCTCTCCCAAACGAGCGACCGTTAGTGAGCAACTGTTACGGAGCAACTGTTAGCAAGTGACCGTTAGCAGTCCCACTCAGCCATTGGTTGGCATCTCGGTGGGCCCCTCCCCCCTTCCTCTGTATAAAAGGAGCCCGAATTCGGACTGAGAGAAGATGGTATTTTTGAGACACTAATCTGCCATCTTCTTGGTCTGCGGGCTTTCTGACTCAAGTCGTTATTCCTTGCCCCAACAACTCGTCTCCCAATTTATTGGCCTGTTGTGCAGTGAGCAGAGCGAGCTTGGGCTCCGTAACAGGTATCCTAACTGAGGGATTGGAAAGCTAGGTTAATTATCCACCAAACTACCGTCCATCTTCGGTTGAGGGCTGCTCTGGGGGCATTAACTCTCCAGCACTTCCAGCTTCCTCACAGGAGAGCCCCTCGCCCCGGGGGCCATTAACCCCTCCCCTAACCCAGGGAGACTCAGAAGAAAGGTTGCCAGCAAGCAGCCTTCTGTGTGTACAGGCGAGTCTTGAAGGGATACACGTGGGGCGGCCACAGCGTGAAATGATCTAGCATCACCCCAAAAGCGAGTGAGGTTAGAGAGAAAAGGTGTCCAAAGCTCTAAAGCATTCCAACATTTAGAGGTCAAGGAAATGAGAAGAAACCAGGAAAGGAGACTTTGGAGAGGCTGGTGAAAAAGAGAGTGGAGTCGTGGAAGGCAAGTTTAAAAAGTGCTCCTAGCAGGAAGAAGAGAGTAACTTTTTCAAACAGTTTTGTTGTGGAGAAACTGAACAGTGGTTGGAGGGAGATGTGGGGCTCAAAAGGGAGGGGTGTAAGAGAGAGAGAGAGAGAGAGAGAGAGAGAGAGAGAGTGTGTGTGTGTGTGTGTGTGCGCGTGTGTGTAAAATGGGAAAGGTTGCAGCACATTTGCATGTTGATGGGACTGATCCAGTCAAGAGGGAAAAACTGATGAGGCAGGAAAAAGCGGGAAAAGTACAGATATCCTTAGTAAATGAGAGGGAACATGGGATCAGTGCACAACTGGAGGGGGCTTCCTTAGGAGCACATGTTCATCGAGAGAAGGCAGAAGCTATGGCCATGTAGAGAGTGGGGGAGTGTGTAGAAATTCTCTTCTGAATTGCAATATTTTTCACAGAAGCAAGGAAGTTAGCTGATATTTGAGAATTGAGGAGGAAGAGTTGTTGGAGGATTGAGAAGAGAGAAGTCATGGAACAGTCATTCAGGATTGGGAATAGATGAGAGAAATGGAGAGAGATGGCCAAGTAGCACCAAAGGCCCACTTGAGCTTAGTGATCATAATATAAAGTGAGAGCAGTCAGCAAGGTTGGGTCTTTCTCCAGCCATGTTCAGCTGTTGCATGCAGGCATGGAGTAGGGGAAATTAGATTTGACCAAGGTTTAGCAGGCTTTATTTATGACCCCCAACCTGCAGTTTTACTCCAGGAAGACATTATATAGTAATTAGCTAAGAAATAAAATTTTCTTGGCAAAGTCATCCTGAATTCCAAGATTCTTGGGAATATGCTATAAGCAAAGAGAGAAAAGTGATTTGTGGGAAAGTAAGGTAGAAGTAGCTTTACTCAATCCATTTTGAAAGTTTGAAATTTTGTTGCTCTACAAAAACTGATCTGGGATTTTTCAGGAAGCAATTGGCTAACCCTTCTACCCTCAATAAACGTTGTGAACTAGTCCTCCTCGCTGAGCCTCTTGGCTCTGGTGGACCCTGCAGCTACCTATTAGCTAAGGGATCAGAACCCAACATTCCATTTAACTGTTAGTGTTGTAAATAATCTGTTCCCATTCACAAAAGGATGAACATATGACAACCACAGACTGTAAAAAGCAAAAAAGGTGTGTTTTAAGTAGCCCCACCTTTCTCCAGAAAAAATGTTTACTCTGGACCTTTTGCAGGTAGAGCTCACATCTTTGATGTGCCTCTGGTCAAAGATTCTAGTAAGAAAATTCTGGATAATCTGGACCTTTGTTTTACTCCTCGCCAACGGGAGCTACGGTACTGTGGCTTTCCATCCCAGTATCCAGTTTCTGGACAAGGTCTAACAACCCAGCTACAAGTGCTCAGAAGCCACCGGATGTGGGCAACGAAAGGGGGGACATAGTGAGTTGAATACTGCTCCCCCAAAAGGTATGTCCAAGTTCTAATTCCTGGAACCTGTGAATATGACCTTGCTTGAAAATAGGATCTTTGCAGATGTAATTAAGAATCTTGGGATGAGATCATCCAGGATTTAGGATGGGCCCCAAACTAATGACTAGTATCCATATAAAGAGAGGGGAGAGGGAGCTTTAAGACACACAGAGACACAGGGAAGGAGGCATTTTGAAGATGGAGGCGGAGGCTGGAGTGCTGCATCTATAAGGGCCAAGGATTGCTGGTAATTACCAGAAGCTAGGGGAAAGGCATGGAACAGATTCTCCCTCAGTGTCTTTAGAAGGAACCAAACCTGCTGACACCTTGATTTTCAGACCTCTGGCGTCCTGAACTGTGAGAGAATAAATTTCTGTTGTTTTCAGCCACGCCTGTGGTAACTTGTTATGGTAGCCCTAGGAAAACAATACAGGGAGTGAACTCATAGCTTAGTAAAGTGAAGAATACATGGTCAGGAAAACCACAAGGAAGCATTCCTGGGACCATGGAAGGAGGCTGGGACCACCTGAGGTTCTTAAAGCCTTGTGGCATTTCCCTTAAATTCCTTCTAGAAGAGTATGGCTCCTCCTCCAGAAATCATGTTTCTGGACAGTCTGGAAAACCTGCAGTAATTTTGAGTCCATTGTCCCATTTCCATGAAAGTGTTTGCAAATATTTTGCTCCCCAGGAAGTCCTACCCTTATGATTTAACCAGCCTGATTCTGCAGTCGTGAAATTTCTGCTTGCAGCAGGGCTGAGCTGAGAAGACCATCCTTGAGGAGGGCAGCCTCCCAGACACTTGTCTCTCCCTGGATTCCTGACTTGTGTCATCTGGAATGAAAAGAAATAACAGCCAGCACTGCAGTTTGATGTACTGGTGCTTTTATTCATTCTCTTCTCTGCCTGAAGTGCTCTTACTCCACTTAGGGAGGCCCTGCTCACCCTTTGAGACTTGCCCAAATGCCTTCTGCTCTGTGAAGGCCACCCTGGAACCACGGAATTGTTCTCTTCAGCATTCCCACAGAACTTGTGCACTTCTGTTGAAGGACTTATTAAATTTAATTATAGCTTATTATGTATTTGTCTTACCTGAAACACTCCAGAGGAAGTGTTATTCATGTCTGAATCACCAGCACTTAGTCTAGAAGCTAGCTCAATAGATGTTTTTGGTATAAACTAAGGAAAGCAATATCTTAGAAAACATCCAGCAACCAAACTCAAGAGTTTCTTGAAAATATACAACTGCTCTTATTTAACTTCATCTATTTTGGATTTCAAGCCATTGGAATTTGGCAAGGAACAAAGTAACATAGAAATTAGTGTGTCCTCTATGAGTAAAGAGTTCAGTGAGTGTTTACTGATTTGCTGTTATGGTCAGAGGAGAACTTCTCTCCAGGAGATGAAAAGGGCAGTGTCACCCCCAGCACTGCAAGCTTCTTGAACACGAGGGAGGGAGAGTCTTCCTATTTTGGATTAAAATTTAGCAAAGGCTTTCCAGAATTAGCCACCAAAGAAGCACTCTGAGCCATCTTTCCTTTATCTGGTCACTGAAGAAAGCTAAAATGTTTACCACAGATGGTGTTCAAAGTGATGTTATCACTCCATGGTCTATCCAAATGCCTCCTCCCATCATATTTGGTTTGGAGTTGTACCTGGAGTTTTTTTTTTTTTGCGGTACGCGAGCCTCCCACTGCTGTGGCCTCTCCCGCCGCTCCGGACGCGCAGGCTCAGCGGCCATGGCTCACGGGCCCAGCCGCTCCACAGCACGTGGGATCCTCCCGGACCGGGACACGAACCCGCGTCCCCCGCATCGGCAGGCGAACCCCCAACCACTGCGCCACCAGGGAAGCCCTACCTGGAGTTTTATACATTTGAAAATATTCAGAATGAATCCTCAGTTGCAAAAGAAAAATGGGCTGTGCCCTAAGCTTATATGTGAATATGCTCCATAGAAAAGATGAAAACATCCAAGTGAACAGAAGCTGAGGGCATAAATAAAAGAGGAAGGTTTGGATAGGTAAGTATGTGTGTTCCCATGGGAACATACAGCTGCTGCCAACAAAAACCATGGGAAAAGGCTAGAGACTCTTCCTATGATTCAGGAATTTGTAAAGAAGTTAAAATACATGTGAATCATTTCCTTTTTCATCCACCACAATCATTACTATCAAGTCAAAATCTGTCCTAGCATCATAAGGAAAACCAGCCTGTTGTGACAACTGTAGATGTTTGCACTAAATAATCTCCCCACCAAGAAATCCAACAGCTTCTAATATCCACCACATAACATTGAAATGGCCTTCACCTATTAAGACCCTCACGATCTGGCAGTACAATCTCTAACCCACTTAATTCATGACTGCTTCCCCATTTTGATCAAGATGGTCTCCTCACTACCCCCTACAGACTACCCCATGTATCATGTTTATTCATAACTCCAAACTTTACTCATGCTGTCTCCCAGTGCATTTTCCTTTTTCTTTATTCAAACCAACTTATTCAAGTCCAGTCCCAGTATCATCTGATCTACATGGTTTGTCATGACTGCAAACTATATTGGTATCTCTCTACTCTGAATTTCTATACTGTCCCTCGACAGCTAGAATCCCAAGCTAATGTTTCTTTTGAAATTAACTTATTTATAAACACTCATTGGCTTCACACACTGTGCTGGGAGCATAATGGAGATTTCTTGAAGATCTTCTAGCTGTTTTCTTTGCTGGGCTCACCATTTTAAACAATTCTTTCCTTCCCAAAGATGACCAAGATAACTAAGGACTTTTTGCTCCTTTTCAATCCTATGCAAGGGAAGCACTTTTTCCCCTCTCCTTGGGCTAAGAAAGATTAGTAGATACTAAACTGGTGAGAGCTGTTAGAATCTTCAACTTTAACCCCTTCCAAATTGAATAAACCTCAGTTAAAGTGCAAATTAGTCACTAATTAAGGAAAGCCTGTGTAGATAAGAAAGTATTCATTTTGGATCCTTTTACCTCTTTTTGGCTATCCAGATTGTGGAATCACAAACAGGGATATTCAGTGGGATGTGCTGATTCTCAGCCCAGGATTCAGAATGACAGTAATTCTTTTGGGATCTGAACCTTGCAAGAAAAAAAAAATGGACAAGGCTAGATTCAGGTCTCAAGTCTGGCAATCCCAGTTTAGTCATGAACAGATAATGAAACCTCCATAACAATAACATTTGCTTAATATCTGAAACCTCCAAATGCCTCTATTTCTAGGGCAATATCATCTCTGTTAATAAGAAACTTTCTAGATGCCAAGAAATTTAGCCTATTTTAAAAAGTCACTCTAGTTCACCTGCGATGAATGAGGAAAACTGAAACCAAAATTCTCCTCCCTTTAACTGAACAAATTGTAGCCTGCCTTTGAGTGACTTTCCTGTAGTTTACCTGCTGTGGTAGATTATTGTCAAAAATATTTACACCTTCTCCCTTTCACCCCTTGACCTTGGGCTTGGACATGTGACTTGCTTTGGCAGATGTGACATAAACAGGGACTTGAAATGTGCTTGAGTGGTTGGGCTTGCCTCTTGTACCTCTGTCTTCACCATAAGAAGAGCACGTCTTAATTAGTCATCCATCTAAGGAGGGTGAAGAGCCACTGCCCAGCTGACCTGCAGCTTTGTGAGATTAAATGATTATTATTCTAAGGTACTGAGCTTTGGGGTGGTTTGTCACACAGAATTTGGGGGGCCATAGCTAATTGATATATATACCAATAGCTACACAAATGACCAGATTTTCCCCAATTCTGTTTCAGTTCCCAGAAAATACCATTCTTGACCCTAAAAGATGCAAGTATATTTTTCTGTGAGCTTCTAGATCAAATGGCACAGTGTGCTTCAGACAAACATGTCTATTTTTCTTCTTTTTTTCTAAATTTCTGACATCATTTCCCTCTGAGCATTGGGAGTGCTCAGAGGGAAATGTGATGTCTCTGTTTGCACAGGTGCTTACTTGATTCCAGGCTCAGAGAAATGACTGTGATCCCTAAATCTGTCACTGTGTCATGGACTGCTGAAAACTTGAAGGTCGGAGGCTATATTAGCCAGGGGCTCAGCAAGAAATAGAGAGCATACCCAACTTTATTGTGTAGAGGCTTTTCAATAAAGGAACTATTTATAGAGATATAGGCAGAGTTAGAGGAGCCAGCGAGGGATGTTGAGACTCCCCCAGGGACTAGGGACAGAGGGGGCTGTTGTAATCCCCAGCCTGAACAGCAGGGGAAGTCAACCCTATTTCCAGAGCCTGGTTGACAGCTGGAGTCAAGAGGGGACTGCCCAACCCAATCACAGCTGTAGTTCTGGTGATGAGGCCACTGATAGAACCACATTGAGGCAGTGAGTGAGTGGGAGGGAATAAACACCCTGGCAGCTCTCTCCTCCCACGATCTGGTCTACTGCTGGTGCCTCCCACTGGTCAGAGGGTGACACAGTTCACAGAGGCCAGCGTCCCAGTACAAAGAACAGAGCAGAGAACAGAGAATGGATCTGGGGAGGATCAAAGAATAACCAGGATAGATGTTTATTAACGCCTGCCCCAGTTTCCTCTGGAAAGAAAACATGGGTGGGGAAGGGAGGATGAGAAAGGTGTTATGTTTACAAGGATACTGGTTACAGAAAGCGTACAAAGTCTTTCATTGTGAATTGATGAGCAAAGAGATGGGGAATTAGAAAATCTGGGACTGGACTAGTAGGTATCTTTGCACTGCACTATGCTGACTCAAGGATTTCTTTGAAAGTATCATGACACAAACCTGTGGCACTAGGAGTTTTTTCCTTCTTCTTCTTCATATAAACCGTAGAGTATATTTAATTCAATTAAACATGAAATTAGAATAAGGTTCAGTCCTTATCAGGTAGCAATTACACTGTTAAAAAAAACCCAGTGAAATTAATATTAAATTACCTGGAAGACAATTATTTGAAGCGGGCTACGGAACTAAGCTTCAGGCCTGAATCTCTGGATTTGGGATTGGGATTGAAGAAGAAATATTTTAATGGCTGGAAAGTAAAATTTATCTTGGTGCTAGAAGATTTCTAGCATCTTGGGCCATGGGACCCTGATGTTGTTTCAATTTTGTGATACTCTTACGATTCTTGACCTATAAAAATATTAAGTGGAGCTGTTTACCAAACTTAACTCATGGCACATCCATAAACCTAAACTTGCCAGAATATTTTAGCTGTCATTGTGTTCATGTTTTTGAAGGAAGAGTGTGTGGAGGGCAAAGAATGCTGAGGACTCCTGGGTCCACACATACACACATGCCTGTACATACACCAGCGTCAGCCATCTCTCTTCCTTCAGCAAAGCTATCCTCACTTTCCATTTCTGTTTCCAAAAATGGGCAAAGGTGAGTAAAACCAAAACATCAATACGTTAAGAATGTCTTTTATTATACACAGAGGTATCTTAATATGCTGAGAAATAATATACATTATACGAATTTGCTTTGAGAACGCAAGTAGCTAACTATCCATCTGAACTCAAATATGTGGGACAGACTTCCTTGGTTTGCAGATTATTCCTTAAACTCGATCTTTACCTGAGAAGAATTCTCTAACAATAATACTTCAGGGATAACACCAGGTAAACTCAAAGCGAATTCTAGGTCTTTAGGATTGCTGGATGTGAAGTGAAGCATTTAAACTGTTAGAAGATTTATTAACGGTATGTTCATTATTTATTTATTTGGCTGTGTTGGGTCTTCGTTGCTGCGCGCGGGCTTTCGCTAGTTGCGGCAAGCGGGGACTACTCTTTCATTGCGGTGCGTGGGCTTCTCATTGCGGTGGCTTCTCTTGCTGCAGAGCATGGGCTCTAGGGCACGCGGGCTTCAGTAGTTATGGCTCGCGGGCTCTAGAGTGCAGGCTCAGTAGTTGTGGCGCACGGGCTTAGTTGCTCTGTGGCATGTGGAGTCTTCCCAGACCAGGGCTCGAACCCGTGTCTCCTGAATTGGCAGGCAGATTCTTTTTATTATTATTTTTTTTTGCGGTACGCGGGCCTCTCACTGCTGTGGCCTCTCCCGTTGCGGAGCACAGGCTCCAGACACGCAGGCTCAGCGGCCATGGCTCATGGGCCCAGCCGCTCCGTGGCATGTGGGATCTTCCCGGACCGGGGCACGAACCCGTGTCCCCTGCATCAGCAGGCGGACTCTCAACCACTGCGCCACCAGGGAAGCCCGGCAGGCAGATTCTTAATCACTGCGTCACCAGGGAAGTCCCAATATGTTCATTCTAATATTATTTTATTAGTTTGCTTGATATTAAACTAGCCTAGAATAGGTTTCTCCAGAACAGACCCTGAGACTAGGATTGAGGCTAGTTTATTTGAAAGATGATCTCCAGAAGCATTGGTAGGGGAGGGGACAGTGAGCCAGGGAAGGGAAGGTAGCCTGAGGAGGATGCATTCACAAGTATGTTACTACCATGGGGAACTGGGGCTCATTTCCATTGTGCAACCCTGGGAGGTGGTGGAGAGCACACCTGAGAATTGTCCCACCCCAAGGATGAGAAAGATGGAGAATTTAGCTACTAACTCCCATCTGTCATGGGAGCTGTTCCCAAGGATGTTAACTCCCTGGCACTTCCAGTCAGCCTGGCACCCAGCATGCTCCTGTGGTCAGAGAAGCTCTCAGGCTAAGGGATGCAGGTACTGGCAATAGAAAGCTATCAGTGTACAGGAATCAGTATCCTGTACAGTACAGGAATACTGAGTGCCAAGAGGATATGAGTGGTGCCAAAAGTATCTACTTCAGAGGCATAACTGATTATAAACACATTATTTAAGCTTCCTGTTAATGGGAGGAAACCAGAAGGCCAGAGCAACCAAGGGTGGCAAGATAAGGAAAGCATAAACTGTAATCTTTGTGATAGCAGCCCTACTTTCTTCCCACACAGATCCTTGCATGCCTCTCTATAACCCCCAGGCAGTCACTGAAGGTCAGGCTAAGAGAGGCTTGAGAAAATTTTTGCTTGTCTTCATAGAAGACATTGGAAACAGGTCAGAGGAGGAGCTTTACAGAGCACAGCCAGCAAGACAATGCAGTCCCTTTCTCGTCAATGGGAACTTCGTGCCTATATTCCAAGAAAATAATATTTCTTTCTCATGCTGTAAATTTTTTACATCTTTACTGGAGTATAATTGCTCTACTATGTTGTGTTAGTTTTTGCTGTACAACAAAGTGAATCAGCTATATGCATACATATATCCCCATATCCCCTCTCTCTTGAGCCTCCCTCCCACCCTCCCTATCCCAAAGGATATATTGGGGTATATATCCCACCCCTCTAGGTCATCACAAAGCACCAAGCTGGAGGAATCAGGCTCCCTGACTTCAGACGATACTACAAAGCTCCAGTAATCAAGACAGTATGGTACTGGCACAAAAACAGAAATATAGATGAATGGAACAGCATAGAAAGCCCAGAGATAAACCCACACACATATGGTCACCTTATTTTTGATAAAGGAGGCAAGAATAAACAATGGAGAAAAGACAGCCTCTTCAATAAGTGGTGCTGGGAAAACTGGACAGCTACATGTAAAAGAATGAAATTAGAACACTCCCTAACACCATACACAAAAATAATCTCAAAATGGATTAAAGACCTAAATGTAAGGCCAGATACTATTAAACTGTTAGAGGAAAACGTAGGCAGAACACTCCATGACATAAATCACAGCAAGATCCTTTTTGACCCACCTCCTAGAGAAATGGAAATAAAAACAAAAATAAACAAATGGGACCCAATGAAACTTTAAAGCTTTTGCACAGCAAAAGAAAACATAAGACAACCGTCAGAATGGGAGAAAATATTTGCAAATGAAGCAACTGACAAAGGATTAATCTCCAAATTTACAAGCAGCTCATGCAGCTCAATGTCAAAAAACCAAACAACCCAATCCAAAAATGGGCAGAAGACCTAAACAGACATTTCTCCAAAGAAGATACACAGATTGCCAACAAACACATGAAGGAATGCTCAACATCACTAACCGAGAAATGCAAATCAAAACTACAATGAGGTATCACCTCATACCAGTCAGAATGGCCATCATCAAAAAATCTACAAACT